AGTAATGTAATAAAAAATATTCTCATATTTGAAAATGAAAGATTCAGTTTTATAAAAGTTTATTAGATCAAATAGCTTATGATATCCAATAAAATTAGATTCTTATATATCATCGGAATTAGCACAGAAGAGTTATACTGCTGGTTACATATCCGTAAGAGCAAGTCCAGTTACATCCATTACACACCCAAGAAAATGACCAAACCTACGGCTTAAGCCCACCTTCAAATATAGCAGATAGTTGCCATTTACTGATGTTAGGTTTGCATAGTATGTAAAAGAGAAATCCCTAGCGATAAATTCTTTAATATATATTTTAAACATATTTTTAACTAATAATTAAAATTTATTAAAAAGTAAAAGTAGTATGAATCACACTCTTTTTCACTTTTAATTTAATATTTGGATGTTATATGAGAAGGGAAAAGGTTTATTCTAAATTCCATTTTTTTAATATTAAACAATACAAAAAATTATTAAAAAATAAATTTTTGCTAAGAAATAATATAATAAAAAGTAAAAAATTTTAGATTAATTTTAATTTTAATAAATATTTTTAAAATAATTCAATTATTATTTTTTTACTTTTAATATTCATCCAAACAAAAAAATATTATCATCTTTTTCTTATTTTAAATTATCTAAATATCAAATATTTTTTATTAACTTGTTATTTTTTGCCTTCATTTCATCTCTTATTTAAACAGAGTCTAACTAACACAATAATCTATATAAAACTTAGCATCCCCTCTTTCATTTGAACATTGTTTCAGGGGAGGCGAGACTTTTCCTTTTCATGGAAATTTTTGACTTCTTATCGTAAAGGTTCATATAGATAGATTTCTTCTCTGTAATCCGTGCGCCTTTTCAATTTGTCATCATTAATTCTTCTTTTTGTTATTTCTCTTTCGTCAATTTTATTTTATTTTTAAATTATAACCCTAGGTTGTGTTTTGATGAAAAATTTTAGAATTTTTAAAAATTTAACATTAATAAAAAAATTAAAATGTGAATAAGTATAAAAAATTTATAAATAATAATTACAAAAAATTAAACATAACAAGGTACATTTTAAATTTTTTACAAAGATACGTGGTTTAAAAAGTAACACAATCATCTTTTAAAACCCAGCGTTGGACCTGGCCTAATAACAGGACTTTATTTTGGCATACATGCATGGTATCATTGAAATATAGTTTACGCGCTTTAAATTCTAATTTGATGCGTGCAAATTGAACTTCATTCAAAATTATCATATTTGAGAAAATTATTATTTGATTACAATGCAATTAACACGATGGCAGAATTTAAAAAATCAGATTTGAGGTGGAAAAAAATAACTTTCTATTTAATTAAAATATAATGCACAGGCTATAATGCAAGGATGCTAGATGCTACATGTCTAACGCATATGATAACTCCTGAAAAAACCCAAGCACACATGTCTGAGAAATAAAATTTTCGCATTGTTAGCTTTAAGGTTATCATTTCAAATAGAATGCTAAGTTTATATACAGTACAAAAAAATTCAAGGAATGTGTGGAAACAATCTCGCTAGCTTTCGTTACAATTCAATTACGGGAACGGGGATGGTGGTTCTTTTTACACCATGCATTTTGTAATTATAAATCTATTAATTCAACAAAAGATAATTGACACCAAATAACAAGTGTTTACATTTCAATTCTTGAGCTTTGCTGAAGACTATTTGGGTTTTGAATTGGCTCACAATCTATGGGTAGAATCAGTCTACGTATTTTAATAACAAGTGGGATTATTTTAATTCAACTTGTGCTTAAGTATAAATAGAGTTCCCAAGCAACGAAATTGCATCAAACAACATTCTCGCCTTTCATCTCCAAACATTCGCATACAATTTGTGATCAGCTCACTCACATCGCAATAATAGCAACAATGGACTTGGCAAGTTGTGCAGTACTCCTTCTATTGACATGGCTAACCATCTATGCTATTCGTTCAATCTTTGCAAGGACCAAAAAACCAAACTATAAGCTTCCACCGGGACCATCCCGTCTTCCCATAATCGGTAACCTCCTTGAATTGGGAGAAAAGCCCCACAAGTCATTGGCTAACCTTGCTAAAACTCATGGTCCTATAATGAGTCTAAAACTGGGACAAATAACCACTGTTGTTGTCTCTTCAAAAGAAATGGCCAAGGAGGTGCTCTTAACCAATGACCAGTTTTTGTCAAACCGAACCATTCCCCAATCAGTTTCAGTTCTCAATCACGAGCACTATAGTTTTGCCTTCATACCCATTTCACCTCTTTGGAAGGAACTCAGAAAAATATGCAACACCCAATTATTTGCCCACAAAACTCTTGATGCTAGCCAACACGTTAGGCGTAAGATAGTGCAGCAACTAGTGACAGATATCCACCAAAGTAGCCAAATTGGTGAAGCAGTGGATATTGTAACGGAAGCGTTCAAGACTACCATAAATCTATTATCAAACACCATTTTCTCCGTGGATTTGATTAAGTCTACAGGAAAAGCTGGTGAATTCAAAGCTGGTGAATTCAAGGATATAGTGACCAATATCACAAAACTGGTTGGAACACCAAACTTGGCAGATTTTTTTCACGTCTTAAAGATGGTTGACCCGCAAGGCGTGAAGAGACAACAAACTAAGAACGTTAGAAAGGTGCTGGACATCTTTGACAGCTTGGTTAAGCAACGGTTGAAGCAAAGAGAAGACACAGTTTCAGACACCAACAAAGACATGTTAGATGCCATGCTCGACATTTCAAAGGAGAACCAGTACATGGACAAAAAATATGATTGAACATCTCTCACATGTACTTTCCTATACCTTCTTATTAATTTTCTCTTGTCATTTAAAAATAATTGTGAATCTTTTTATTAGAATTATTGTGAAATTAATCAGCGGTTGAATATATAGGATATATTTGTTGCGGGAACAGACACAACAGCATCCACCTTAGAATGGGCAATGACTGAGCTACTTCGCAACTCAGAAGTAATGCTGAAAGCCAAAAAGGAGTTACAACAAACCATTGGAAGTGGCATCCCACTTGAAGAGTCTGATATTTCTAAGCTGCCATATTTACAAGCTATAATAAAAGAGACATTAAGGTTGCACCCACCAGTTCCACTCTTGCTCCCACGAAAAGCAGACAGGGATGTCGAAATAAGTGGTTACACTATCCCAAAAGATGCACAAGTGCTAGTCAATGTGTGGACTATTTGCAGGGATCCAACATTATGGGAGAATCCAACTTTGTTTTCTCCAGAGAGGTTCATAGGATCAGATATTGATGTTAAAGGACGAAATTTCGAGCTTGCACCATTTGGTGCTGGTCGGCGAATTTGCCCTGGCATGCTATTGGCCAATAGGATGTTGCTGCTAATGTTGGGTTCACTTATTAACTCCTTTGATTGGAAGCTTAAAGATGACGCAGAAACAAAGGATTTGGACATGGATGATAAATTTGGAATTACCTTACAAAAAGCTCAGCCTCTTCGAATTGTTCCTATTAAAATAAGCAATTGATTAAGTGTTCTCCATTCATTCTGTAATAATGTATGAGGTGACTCGTTTGCCCTTTTCGGGTCAGGAATTATTTCATTGTTTTTATTCCTCACCCTCTAAATGTAACAACTTGAGTGAAAAATAAACTGCTGTATTAATAAAATTCATTGAAATTATACACACGAATATTTATAGATAATATTTTATGCAAAAGAAAAGTTGTTCTTAGATAACACTAATTGCGTGATTACAACTTTTATAACCTGCTGACATAGTCACGGTTTCCCCAAGATTTATCATGAATATAGAATTTTACACTAACAGGATGCAATAAACTAATAAAAAAAAATGTTAAGATCAATCTTTAAACCAAAGATAAGCAATTAAAACATTATTTTATTTTCTAAAAGCATGCATCACTTATAAAATATTATTGATAATACGATAATTACTGTCACTGTTGAAAGAATTTTTAAATTAAAATTGATGTAGTTCTAATTAAAATAAACTATATTATATGATATATTGAAATATTTTCCATATTATAATTGTGGAGAGTGAAATATTAAAATTAATTAATTAATCATAAAAAATTAAATAATGTCACAAAAAATATTAAATTAAACTAAGTCATATACAAATTTTGCATAATACTCTAAATTTTCTAAACATTTTATAGACTGAAGTTTGGGTTGGCTAATATTTTACCTTTATAAAAAATTACCAGTTTGTTGCTCGAAATATTTGGGTCACGGAATAGCCTGCTAGAAGTCCAACGGTTACTTTTTGACATGTAAAGTGAAATAAATATATTCAAGACGTATTAATAAATAAAGGATCATTATCAGCATCTCTTTAATATATATATCATTAGCATGTGAGTTTATTTTCTTTTTCGTCTCCTCGAATTACCTATTCCAAGTCTCTCGTTGGAAAAATAAAGAAGAATACCAAAAGGAATTTAAGTTAACTATACCATGCATTTAATTTGTCATTTAATATAAGCAACAAATTAATTCAACAAAAGTTAATTATATTAAAACCAAAGAACAAAGTCTACATTTTAATTATTGGGCATTGGCGAAGAGGTTTCCTTTATGAATTGGCTCACAATCTACAGAATCAGTAGTCTACGTGTTATGTTCCTCTGTTCTTAATGTAAACAATTGATTTAAACCTAAGTATGACACGTTTAATTTATAAGTGAAATTATTTTAAGGTGTGGTGTGGTATTTTAATTTTATTTTTTTTATAAGTGCTCTATCTAAAAAATTGTAATAATTAAAAAAAAAAATCTTTCCTGAATTGTATTCTAAATTTTTTTCAAAGATATCATAGAATTTATCTTATTTTAATTCAACTTGTGCTTGAGAAGTCAAGTATACAATAAATTGAGTTCCCAAGTAACGAAATAGCATCATTGATACCGACGTTCTTCCATTTTGTCACCATCCTTTCTCATATAATTTGTCATCAACTCTCCCGCAATGGACTGTGCAAGTTGTGCAGTACTCCTTCTATTGACATGGCTAACCATCCATGCTCTTCGTTCAATCCTTGCAAGAACCAAAAAACCAAACTACAGGCTTCCACCAGGACCATCCTGTTATCCCATCATTGGAAACCTCCTTGAAATGGGAGAAAAGCCCCACAAGTCATTGGCTAACCTTGCTAAAACTCATGGTCCTATAATGATTCTAAAACTGGGACAAATAACCACTGTTGTTGTCTCTTCAAAAGAAATGGCCAAAGAGGTGCTCTTAACCAATGACCCGTTTTTGTCTAACCGAACCATTACCCAAACAGTTTCAGTTCTCAACCACGAGCACTATAGCCTTGCCTTCATACCCGTTTCACCTCTTTGGAAGGAACTCAGAAAAATATGCAACACCCAACTATTTGCCCACAAAACTCTTGATGCTAGCCAACACATTAGGCGTAAAGTAGTGCAACAACTAGTGACAGATATCCACCAAAGTAGCCAAATTGGTGAAGCAGTGGATATCGGAACGGCGGCGTTCAAAACTACCATAAATCTATTATCAAACACCATTTTCTCCGTGGATTTGGTTACGTCCACAGGCAAAGCTGGTGAATTCAAGGATATAGTGACCAATATCAATAAGCTGGTTGGAACACCAAACTTGGCAGATTTTTTCCCCGTCTTAAAGATGGTTGACCCACAAGGCGTGAGGAGACAACAAACTAAGAACGTTAGGAAGGTGTTAGACATCTTTGACCGCTTGGTTAAGCAACGGTTGAGGCAAAGAGAAGGCACAGATTCAGACACCAACAAAGACATGTTAGATGCTTTGCTTAACATTTCAAAGGAGAACGAGCACATGGACGAAAATATGATTGAACATCTCTCACATGTTCTTTCCTCTACCTTCCTTATTAACTTCCTATTATTGTGAATGTTTTTTATTAGAATTGCCGACTTAATTATTGAGCAAATAATTTAATTTGTGGTTGAATATATAGGATATATTTATTGGGGGAACAGACACAACAGCATCCACCTTAGAATGGGCAATGACTGAGCTACTTCGCAACCCAGAAGTAATGCTGAAAGCCAAAAGAGAGTTACAACAAACTATTGGAAGTGGCATCCCGATTGAGGAGTCTGATATTTCTAAGCTGCCATATTTACAAGCAATAATAAAAGAGACATTGCGGTTGCACCCGCCAGTTCCATTCCTACTCCCACGAAAAGCTGATAGGGACGTGGAAATACGTGGTTACACTATCCCAAAAGATGCACAAGTGCTAGTCAATGTGTGGACTATTTGCAGGGATCCAACGTTATGGGAGAATCCAACTTTGTTTTCGCCAGAAAGGTTCGTAGGATCTGATATTGATGTCAAAGGACAAAATTTCGAGCTTGCACCGTTTGGTTCTGGGCGGCGAATTTGCCCTGGCATGCTATTGGGTAATAGGATGTTACTCTTAATGTTGGGTTCACTTGTCAACTCCTTTGATTGGAAGCTTCAAGATGACAGTGAAGAAAAGGATATGGACATGGATGATAAATTTGGAATTACCTTACAAAAAGCTCAGCCTCTTCGAATTGTTCCTGTCAAAATACGTAATTAGACATTTATTGTGTAATAATGTATCGGGTGATTCATTCACCCTCTTTATCTTGTAGAATAAACTGAAATTTGGGTTGGACAAAATTTTACCTTTATTATAAATTATCAGCTTTAATTTTTGTTGCTCCAAATGTTTGAGTCACGGCCTCAGATTCCCATCCTAGTTTTTGACATGTAAAGTGAAATAAATATATTCAAGATGTATTAATAAATAAAGCAGGATTTTCAAGATCTCTTTAATTAATTCAGTTGATTAAATTTTATGAGATATATATCATTAGCATATGAATTTAATTTTTCGGGACATATTTCATTTCTTTTTCTTATTTTCTTTTCTCGCATGATTGATTTAAAGTCTCTCGTTGGAAAAAAAAAAATTGCCAAAAAAGTTAACTATAATTTTAAGTAAATAATAACTAATTAAGGTGCATTTTATGCTCACTTATAATATATAAAATATAATTTGAATAAATAAAAAAATGAAACTAAATATTAATTAAAATATCGATAATTTATTAAAAATAAGATAGAAAAAAGTCTCCATAATATATATATCTTATTGTAAAGTTAAAAAATAGCTTGACATTTGTTTTGGAGTGTTTGTGAGACCCTGAATTTTCTATTAGTTGAATTTTGAGATATTGCCGCCTTAAAATAGGAAATTCAATTATTTTTTGTTTTATTTTAATTTAGTTGCGTTAAATTTTCTTATCTCTTTTGCAATAAAAATGTGTATTTGGATAAATAATTTAAATTTAATAATTTATTACTCATAAAAGCTTATAGTATAAATTTATTAAAAAAATAAAAATTCATTTTAATAAATTACACTAGAAATTATTAAAATAAATTATAAACTATTTTTATAAATTTTGTTAAAGACCCCTAAATGAGAATTGATGGGCATTATAGCAGACACGGTGGGAGGGTGCCTCTGCTTGTAATTATCATGATTGAATAGATATGGATGCCCATACAAGACCTTCACAATTTGCAAGCACATTCAATTCTCTCACTCATCTCACTCATTCACCTTCTGCTTGTTATTCTATTTATTTTGCAATGACCTAAGAAAACATTAATTGGATTCAACATTAGTGTGAAGAGTTGACTCATAGGTAAGCTTGCTAAATAAAAATATATATAACAAGGAAAAAATATATAAAAATACAAAATAATAATAATAATAACATGTCATCAAATTTAATTATTAAATCGATAATTTAAAATTTTTTAAAAAATATATGCATAAATAGACCCAATTTATGCTAAGTGACTTGTCTAATTTGCAAGTCGAGTGAATCGAGTAAAAATTAATCTAAAATTTTTGTGAATTAAACTATTTTTAGCCCAACTCATCCAAAATTCAGGGTGGACCATGCTAACTTGTGGATAAGAACTTGTTTTAAAGCTATACGATCTTCATTGACAAAGAAATGTAATCCACTCCCTTCGGCTCATTAGTTAAGGTGGGGCTGCGTGTTAGTACAACTGTTAGAAAAAATTCACATTAAGTATTAAATTTAATAAATTTTCCTTTTTAATAATCTTTTATAAATACTAAATTTTATTAATATAGCTATCACTCTTATTTTTCAAAAAATAAATCCTTAATTTATCAAAATCAATTAAAATTATATATATATATATATATATATATATATAATAAATCTGTACTCTATTTTAGAAACACTCATGTCAATATTAAATGATTAAATTATTATTTATCATTTTATTATTTAAATATTGTTGTGATAAAATAAATAGTACATATCAAAATTAAACGAAAAGAAAAGGAATTTAATTATTAGTTAAATATTTTAAATAGTTTAAATAACGAAAAGTAATATTATCTTATTTCACTCTATTTCATTTTATCATTTTATGAACCCAAACATAACTTTAATATGTAATTTGAGCTTGAATTTATTCTATCCAGTCAATATGTGTATGAAATTGTATTGCTGAAATTCTTCGTTTATTCAATTCAATTCAATGTATTCCTTGACTCAATGCATTTCAAACAGTACCTTCCAATTATAATCCACAAAAGGCAACTGTGGAAAGCCCATCTAGAACACACTATGTTTTACTAATGAAAGAGAATCAATCATTTCGCAATCAGTGGCATATGTTTTGGGTTTTGAATAGGCTCGCAAATTATGGGCAGAATGCATCTACATGGATACATGTTCAATCAACTATTCAGATATCTATGATTAATTTTGTCTCACATGATGCAGTAACACTGAGCTCTTCCTTTGCTTATTATATTTTGCCTTTGTTATACAGTGAGATTCAAACTTTCGCATTGTGACTAATATTCTGTTACCCAAAGCTTTGACTGTAAACTGACATATCTCGTCGTTTAACATTTTCAGATTATTTACATTACCTTCCATATCATAATCTTTTAGACAATTCATTTAATAATATACATCCATAAATGTATTTTTTTTAAATATTGGTGCATTCTTAATATAAACCCATAACTTACAGGAATTCATGATTCAAAAGCATTACTCCCTCGACTGGAATTCATGATTCAAAAGCCAGGCACGATGTTAAAATGAAATTGTCAACTAAGTGAAACGTTGTTTTGTAACATAATGATCACCACCCATAATATCAGCTGGCGTCGATCAAACAGGTGAATTAAAATCAATAAAAACATGGAACTGTGTTGCAAGTTCTCAATAGACATTTCTAAACACTATTACCAAAATTTGTAGGTTACTGCAATAAGTTTTCCAGCATTTTCTGGTCTTTTTGCTATCTAATGATAGTCCCCGCTACAATAATATATTTAGTATAGGTTCAACAAATTATACTAGTATTAGTGTAAAAAGAACATAATTATGAGTTTCTCATTTGCTTTCCAAATTCAAATATGAATCATGAAAGACATTCAATAGATAGCAATCATAGTCAGAACAGCTTAAAAAATATAATGATTATTCCAAAAACATTAAAAGCTTACCTGAACTACCTCATCAAGAAGACTAAACTCCAATAAACCGAGAACCAATCCCTTGAATCTTGTGTGGTCCTTGATGTTCACGATGACAATTCGCTCATCAGCAACAGCTTAAGAAGCATGTTCTTATCCTAGCTCCATGGTTTTATTATAAAGAAAAACCACTCAAACCGTATCAAGTAACTACCTGAGTGAAAACAAACAAAACATACAGGAACAGGCTTAATTTAAAGTGATAACTTTAAGATGAAGAAAAGATGGTATAAATATTGCGGCATCAACTTTACACGCTTGACTTAGCATGTGATGGTTCAAGTGCGGCAGAATGGAAAAACATATTTAAGGATTTTTCTTTTGTTTAGGAGTTGTTCTGTGATTCATAGAAACTGTAGAATTTCCCCTTGTTTAAGAGATTTTTCATTATGGCCTTTACTTTTAATGTTATATGCTCATTAGATAATATTATCATGTTAAGATTTTCTATTTCGATTCAAATAGGATTTCATATTTTAAGAAATTAATTATTTAATTAGGATTTTATATTTAGTTATGATTTATGCAGGATTTTGATTATTTGGGGCTATGAATTCCCTTTAGATGCCTCATGTTATTTAGACCTCTGGCATAATTATAACAGTAAGATTTCCTTTCCGTCAGAGAGCATCTTAAATCTTAGTCAGAGGAGTATTCAGCTATAACAGAGTACTCTAGTTTTTCAATATCTCCAAAAGTCTTGATTCGTTTCCTGAGTGAATTATATCTATTCACTAAGGACAAAAGAAATAAGAAAAAAGACAGAAATGTTTAGCTCACGTTTGCAATTATTGGTCACTTGTTTTTCATTAGCCAGCAATGTACATGGAAAATGCACACAAGGTGAAGAATTAGAAATATAAAGCAGACAGTGCCAACTGAGAAGGCAGGCCCATAGTTCAAATGAGGCTGAAAGGCCCTTCTTTGGTTTTTACTTTGTTTAAATATCTACCTAGGCATCAAAACCACTATCATTGATATATTGAAAAACAAATCTGAATTTTGAAGCTTCCGCTCCAGGCTTTCTCCTTTCCTTAGAGTGTAAATTACGTCTTGGAAAATCATCAGTCAATGCTCTCTGAGCCAGAATTGCCCCTTCACCAACAACCTTAGAAGCTTATATTATTAGAAACTGAATGCGCCATCTATTAACAGCGGCTTTTGATGTGTAAATATCCAAGCGAATTGGTTCATAACGAGCCGTATGCTTGTAAAAAGTAAGAACCTTGCCTAATGCCTAGTCTGCGTCTTATTCACAAAAGAAGTGTCAGTGATTTACATACATCGCTTTTACTTGTGACTTCAACTTTGGGAAGCTTCTCGTCTCTGGAAGTCACATTCTCTCTTCACCTCCTTAGCATTTTCCATTTTTTTATTTGAAGAATATTCATTCTTCGGAATGCTAAATTGTATCCTTGGATCGGGACTCAAATCATAACTCCTTATTTCTTGTCTCCAAAAACAAACTAATTATGCGAGAAAATATTATTTTTAATTAAGTGTCACTTTTTAATTGAAAAGATAGAAAATAAAACAAGAAACGGAAACAGCTGATTTTTGAACTGCACTCAAATTTAGAGAATATATTGCCATGAATTATCATACAATCCATGTCCTTAAAACAAAGCCATTTCACCCTCAACATTCAAAGAACGACACCCAACAGGTCATCAACCACATCCTGATGCAGCCACATGATCCAACTTCCTTAATGAAAATTGAATGTCCCAAGAGAAAATGCCGAATGTAAAACCAAACTAGAAAAGTTAGAAGTTGCAAGTTGTAACACGGCTATTCAATGGGTATAGCTTAACATGTGGGAAAAGATTCCCTGCCCCCATCGTGGTCTGCCTTGCCTGGCAACCACCCTATGTTCTGCCTGCTTTCTTGCAACTTTTCATGGGTTGTTGCGCTCAGTTTGGGTAATTACTTTTTCCTAATATTTAGAGACAAATAATTGCTATCCCATTCCTTTATATTTTAAAACAGAAATACTATCGTATCAAACGGAATGCATAGCACAAACTAGATTCAGCTGGCAACTTTCACCCGGCATCATCTAATGATTGGAAGGGGAGTTACTACCACTATGTCCCCTGTATCATCCTTCTATTACGCTTCCTAATATTTTAGAATAAAAAAATAAGTTATCAAATACGCTTAATATATTACAAATATTAGAAAAAAAGATTTAATACTTTCTTCCTTCAATAAAGATGTTGATGTCATAGGAAGATCTAAAGATAAGATGTTACAGGAAGACTAGATTATTCTTTAGAAGAATGCCACAAAGGAAAGGGGAAGACGATCCGCTGCAGTTATAAACTAACTGCATGGTGTGCAGTTCTGATACCTAATGGTTGAAATTATGTTTGGTATAAATTTTTGTCATATCATCACCAAAATATAAATAAATTAATTTTTTTTTGCCACAAAACATAAATTTTAATGGCTTGGATCTCTTGCAGTTTTTTTAGAACCGTAGAGAACCTTTACCAAGGGAATGCAAATGCAGAACTAACAAATACCATAGTAATGTATTGTGAAAGCAGAACCACTCCTCAAAGCAAAACAAATTCATCTCAGACAAAATTATTTCCTTTATAGCCTTTATACCGTAGTCAACAGCTGCCAAGAAACATATTACCTTTTTCTTTTCTTTTTTCTTTTTTTTGTTTTTCTTCAGAGTTGGATCCCAAGATAAGCATATAATGTAAACACAGTAAGAGTCTTTCTACAACTAAACCGAGCATTGGTAGTTGAGTTTCTGATGTTTCTTGGCCGTCCTAGTTACTTTCCACAATCACCTAGTACTATGGGATCAACATTAGAAATACAACTTCTCCCCATGCAGAGCAGGAAGTGGGACAGTAGTTATAATTAACACACACAACTGCTACCGTTAAACGGTTAGTGATTACAAACAACATTGCGAAAGTAAATTGGATCAAGGTCGTCATATCAGTGGTTACCATCTTGAAGGGTTGTAATTTCTATCGGTAGTAAGCCTGCTGATAAGTGGGTGCCAAAACATTTCCATAGCCACCATATGCAGGATAGTTCATGGGAGCTGCTGGGTATGACCCTGCAATAGGCGCTGGTTCTGGCGAATAAGCATAAGGATTTGCTGGGGGACTTCTGCTGCCATACATGTGGGGTGGGGAAGGGTATGGAGGAAGAGCAGCTGGGTATTGCCCGTGTGAAGGAGACCTGACAAATGTAGGTGCAGCAGCAGCAGGGAAAGATGATACATATGCATTGGTCAAACGGCCAGCTTTAGCTGGTGGCATTGGACCTCCATTGCTGTTGCTTGCTCTGGTTCTTTTATTGGCAGGGACAGCAACTGGTTTCCTTTTCTCCGTCTTGACCTTCTCCAACTGCTCGAGTCGCTTCTTCAGATTTTCTGGAGGGAACTCAGCCTCAAGTTTGTACTCTTCAATGCATTTAATCACGGCCCTGAGTGCAGATTGCTCTTTTCTTGCAGCTAGATACTGGGAAAATTTATTCAGCATAAAAAAAAACAGTCAGTCAAAATATCAAACACACTTCTACTAAGCCAAGAAAAAATACAACAAAGCACTTTTACCATTTCCAGCCTTTTTTCTTCCAACTAATAAAAAAAAAACAAAAAACAGCACAAATACATGAGAAGAATCAGAAATAAAACCAGTATCAAACCAACTATTAACTGACATCCTGAAGGATACCAACACTCCAGTCCCTTATCTCAAACACAGTCTTAGGTGCAGTCTTTACAAGCTGCACACTGTCCATACAAGAAATCCAAAAATAGAAATTTTCCAAACTTGTATCAAGAATCAACCATACATCACAAGCTAACAACACCAGTGATCCAACAACAAAATCAGCAATGAAATTAAGAAAAAGCCATGCAACTACTCATCGAGCAAGTATAGAAGACAGTTTAGTAAACCAATACTACTAATTATAGGTTACTGAATAAAACAAAAAGAGAAAAATACCGCAGCTCGGCCTGCATTATTAGGATCTTCCAATATAGAGGCGGCAACTTTCTTAGCATCCTTGAGAAATGATTTGAGGAGCGGAACAGGAGGGAACTTCTCCACAAGACCCACTTCATAAGTAAAGTGAACCGCATCAAGCTGTTGCCCTTTGCTAATCAACTCTTCAATCATATCTACCATATCAATAATAAATAAACAAAATTCAAATTTTTTTAGTACTACACAAACAAAAACATAATCAAACAAAACAAAAGAGGCAGAAATTGAATAAGATCAACCAATATCACCAAATATACCTGGCATTTGATGAGCAAGACCAAGGGAAAGTGCAAGCTTGGGCATCTGTTTCCTCCAGGCAGAGGCAATAACAAGCTTCCTATACAAATCCAAATCCTCCTCCTTCACAATCCCAAAGGTAACAAGATGCTGCAAGAAAGTGTGTACATCGGGGGTCTTAACGTTCTCAATTCCACCACGCTCTTCAAGACTCGCCTTCCAAGTCTCAGCAATTTCACTCGCTTGTTCCTTCACAGTGGGGGTCACCAACAACCTCGATTTCCCAATAACAGGGTCCACAACCACCGGAACCAGAGACTCAAGCACAAGCACGCAGGCCCACCCCAAGTCGTTCCCAGCTTTCTCCCCCCTCTTATCCACCGGAAAAACCTCCGATATGGCTTCGAGAACAAACTTCGCCGGATCCACGCACTCGGCGAGCGCCACCGGCATCTCGGCGCGTAGCCCCTCGAGCTCCTTCTTCTTGCCGATGACGAAGCCCCAGAACCCGAAGGCGTCCATGCGGAGGCAGAAGGACTTGAGTTTGAGAACGAGGCCGTCGTCATTGTCGACTTCGCCGTCGTCGTGGTTGTTGTTGTCGTCGTCGCGGTGGTGGAGGAGGGCGGAGATGGCGGCGTCGCGACGCCTGTCGAGGTTGCGAAGTGCGATCTGAACGCTGCCGTCGATGGAGGTTTCGCGGCGGTCGAGGAGGTGGAGGGATTCCTTGGTCTGGTTGTCGAGGGTTCGAATCTTGCGTTTTAAGGCTTCGGATTTGTTAAGGAGGTCTTGTTCCAGCGACGAGAAGTGGTCGGAAAGTTCCTTCCAGAGGAGGGTGCAGCTCGTCATCAGAGAGGTTTGGCGCTGGAACTCGTCGAAGCTCGGCTGAGCCAACTCGCTTAACTCGCCTGGATCGGGGATGGACCCCATCGTCACTCGCTTTGCCCCAAACACACAACACAAGAGAAGGAAAAACCAAACCCTAGCTCCCTTCGTTCAATTTCAATCAATGAAGGAGTGAAAGCAGAAAGAGAGAGAGAGAGAGAGAGAGAGAGTAAAGGTGGTGGCGAAATGGTGATAGAAAGAGAAAGAGCCAGTGATGACGTGGATGAGCAAGGTTGAGACACGTGTTATTGTGTTATGGAAAAGGTAGTTGAGGGGCGGCGCTAGAGTGCGCTGCAGGTGCGTAGGTTAGGGCGTGAAATAGGATAAGAATTAGAGCGGTGTTTCCACTTTGGATTGGGATTAGACACAACACAAAGTATGTCAAAACAGCTGCGATTTTTGGGTTTCCACACAAAACAAAACACACCCTTCCCCCTTTCGTTTTATGGATCACTCGCTTATGTCATTGTCCCTAATTTTAAGTTTTTAACTACTTCTCACAACAACAATCACATTCACACTTTAACTCTCTATTAATTATTATGATTAAAATGCAGTGTACTAAATATACTTATATAGTGCTAAGTGACTGCTACATACCTACTCCTGGATATTTTAAAGTGTAATGCTTTCTTCCAGTACAAAAATACATTATTTTAAGAAAAAGTTTAAGTATAGCACTTTAATTTTGTTGGGTTGTTTTTAATTAATATTAGAATTTTTATTTTATAATTTAGATATTTAAGGATGGAAGGTTAGCATTGGTCTTGAAACTTTTAATTAAAGAACAATATTACCTAAGCTTTGTCAATTATTTTAATTTAGTTACTTTTTTTGAAAATTAGCAAAGTTTTGAATAAAATAATTGAAAATAGTGTTTAAGTTGATTGGATTGTAAATACATGAAATGAATAAAAATGTTGTAAATATAGAGTGACGTTGTCTGAAGGGATGTTAACAGTAATAAAATTAATGATTATTTAAAATAAAGGTTAAAGACTGGTAGTAATATTTTCTTAAGATAAGTGAGTTAATGAGTGATTATAAAATGGAGTGTGGTGTATGCAAAATGTTGAACAGTGTATATGATGTTGTATTCGTACAGAGAGGAACTTTCCCAGAAATCGAAGATAGATCAGAAAGATGAGGGGGATGGGACAAGAGTGGTGTGAGGCACATGGGAAGAGTCAGATAAAGTGATAAAAGGGATAACAGGTGGAAGAGAATGAATGAGGTAATCTAAATTCAAAGGGTTAAAAACAAAAACATTGCGTTGGTCTTTGGGTGGGGGGTACAGTACCTGCCATCGCAGAAAGACACATGCATGCGTACAAATGCGTGTTGTGATAAGGTATAATTCACCTCCAGATATTCTTCAACTTGGAGTTGGACCTATGTTTTCAAATTCTAAATTATTATTTTATCACAAGATTTTATAAACTAACCTCCTTCAATTAATAATCATTTCACTTTCCGGTTCGTTACTTAAATTTTTTAATATAATTTCTTACCATCCTTATCCTTATTTATAAAACTTTCTTTTCAATTACTTTTTGTCATAATTCAATGATTTTGCTTTGAATTAATAATACTTATCTTTAATTTAATATATTTTTTACTCATGGAATGAAGGATCATATTAAAATTTCTGTTTAAAGTAACAAATAAATACTGATAAGTTTAATTTTTCATACTAGATAAATGTATGGGTAATCAATACTAAACTTTAAAAGTATTTTTTTTTTTCTTATCGAAATTCCTTTCCTTAACGTGGTTTGATCATTCCCGAAAGATATAAATAATGCATTTGATGGGCACGCGATCAAATGCATAAGAAAATTACACTTTAATCCTTATATTTTAACTTCTGTATAATTTACATTTAATATTGATTGATAACTTTTTAATTATTAAAATGCATTTCCTCATTATGACCATCATTTAATGGTAGCAATTTTGAATAAATAAATACATATATATATATATATATATATATAATTAAAAGTAACTTTATATTATTTGTTCAATATTTTATGTATTTATCTGTTATCAATCCGCACAAACCAACAATGCATAAAATTTGTTATATTTATGTCAATCATTAAATAAAATTAAGAATAAAAAGTTATGTACTAATATTTTATTAAAAAATATAATGTATTAATTCTATTAAATACTACAATTCAAACTGTGCCTACACTAAAATATAGTTATTAGAAACATTTTAAGACAAGATGAGACGATTGGCATTAAACCGTGTTTCATTGTTGTTTCTTAATACACATCTCGGAATTTATATTTGGGCATTCAAATTTCTCGGTTTCTACTAAACGTGTGCCTCCAAAAAGAAAGTAAGTTTTAGGGATTATTCCACGTATACCAGCATCTCAATTGAAAACTTCATTACAACTGCCTGTTTTTTTTTTAATTATTATTAAATAAAGCAAAACTTATTTTAATAGTAAGCCAGTCAATTTAAAAATTACAAGAGTTTTCAGGCATTCCTTAACCTGATTGGGTTTCTTGAACGACAGCACAAAATAATCATTACTTAAAAGATGGAAGACAATCTTTTAGTGTCCTTAATGTGAACGATTTAAAATTAGAGTAACAACGTACCATTAAATTAAATGCAATATTTGGTAACCCGAAAGAAAAAGCACATTCGATTAATAAATGCACCCAGGATGTGCAGTAATTCACATTTAATCCTATAAGAAAAATATAAAGCAACAGATTTCTGTTGTCCCCAGCAGTAACGTGATTACATACAAATCACATGTGAAAGAATAAAAAAAGATAATACATTTGAAAATTCCAACTTGTGAGCTTAAAATTATTTCATAATGTGTTGTTTTGAAAATTTTAATTAAAATAGCTACACATTGATTATGATTCTTTTAAGCAAAATATTTTAAAATTAAAGAAATCAGAATACTTCACTCTTTAAATAGAAGATAATGCTCTTAAGCGAGAATATAAATAGGCATACAACATAAATTTAAAAACACTGAACCACAATTCACCAAACCGTGGTGCTTAACCACAGATGCTTCAATCACCTTACATGGTCGAACGTATTTGCGCACCAAATTTTGTAAGAATCTTGACATGTATTGTTTGAATAGATTCCATACATGTCACTAACTAATATCCTGACCGATGTGTGTGTAATTTCAAACTAAATCAGATAAATATTTTGCCCCACTTTAGAGACAAGATCACTTCATAGCACACAATCCTAAATAAAAATATCCTAACAATTTTATGCACCATAAAAAAATGACCTACGTACATCCCTCCCAGCAAATCTCGTACCTTGGTAGAAGTAAGGTAGCATAATATATGCAGTTACTTGAAAAACACTAATTTTCCTGATGTAGAGGCAAGATCTAGATTACCCTAAAGTCCAGTAGAATCCTGATAATAAAAATTGTGTAAACACTGCACAAAATAATACACAAAATGCATGATGAGTGACTAGAACTTCAGTGGGCTGGAATACAATCATTAAGCAGTGATCGTTGCAATGTCAAGTTTGGACAGACAACACAGGCAACTGATACCGAAAACCGTAAAACCATCTACTCCACCATAACCCTCATTTAAACTTCATGGACAATCCTAGGCAAGCTTAGAAAGAATGCAAGAGTGCAGTGCTAGTATCATTTAGCATCACTGAGCCCCCCTCTACTCACTGCCCAATCCTAAGAAAGAAAAATTAATGATTAATCAACTTGGAATTTGCAGTGAGAGCGGGGCTTCATCAATCAATTAAACCGAACAGCAAACAATCAACTAGGAATGGCTACTAACAAGGGATTTACAGATTCGCAAGAAACCGCAAGTACAAATATCTAATTCCCCCATTGTAATAAAAAAAAATGTTAACTGTAAACAAACAGTTCCCACCCAACACGGGGAAAAGCGAGGATAAGACCATGACTTTAGATTCCAGTCATTGACTTTAAGTAAGACAGTGCGTTCCAGGTTGTCAGATGGTGGAACGGCAAACAAACCTTCCTAATACGCCTACTATTAACTACAGCAGGAAAATCAGAATGAATTACGAGATAGAGAATAAAAATGATGGCACGCAGCCTCCTATTGTACATTGAAACGGTCAGCACAATATAACAAAGCTTTTATCATCTTCAGGAATCAGGACTATAAACCAAGCGGAAAGACTTTCTCCTGAACAATCCACAAATAATTTTACACTGTCATTCCATGTAGTCCAGAAGCTACAAGGGCGGTTTGTATTCTCTCTTGCTCTCTAGGACTGCTTTCTTCCTTGTTTCAAAATCAACTTTGTCAAGATCAAAAGCAGTCCCAAGATAGCCATACAGGACCCTCCTTTTCTCTCCTTTTTTCTCATCTACCTTCACAAGGTTTGCATTGTTCTCATCATCCTTCCCTAATGTTTGGGACTGCACATGGGCCCAATCCTTGCGTCCATGATTTTCCTTCTCAAAGTGTTCAGCAAGGCGGATGGCCTCCTTAAAGCCTGATGGGTCGCCAGCAAATTTAACCAGTGTTACGCCCAAATGACCATCTCTTCCATATAATGACTTTGATTTGCCACCCATAAATCCGAGCTCTGGAAAACCATGCATGAATATCAGATGGAAAATATATACAGTTAGAAGTTCACTATCATCAGGTATGAGTGGATGATTCAAAAAACCAAGATTTTGGTTAAGTGCCTCCTATTCTTAACAAATAGTAGTTTACAGTTATATTACAAAAATGGGTTCCATGATTATGGTGGCAGCAGCTGGAAATGCTGCCATTTTAGGCACTTCAGCCAAGTAATTTACACCTTACAGGAGATTGAGTCCAACATACTACTGTGTTTCTCAAGAAAAGTTACAGGAGTGAAAACCCTGGACGTAGAGGAAGAGAAAAATCGAAGGGCAGAATAGTAAGCCAGACCATCTAAATCAAGAGACAGGACAATAAGGGAAATGGACTAAAGAAGGGTGCTCAAAAATTGGGGAAAGATTTTTCTCCGTCATCTAAATTTCTATCCGCCAATATAGATGATTCATCCAGTGAGGACAAAACAGATTAACGCCTAATCTGATCTAATATGAATAAAACCAAAAGCATTTGCTAATAGACTATTTAAATAACAAAGTAACCAGCTAAGCAATTGCAGTAAGATTACAATCACAAGATTAGCTGAACTCACAAGCTAGTAGGTAATAAAACAGACAGTTTAAGAGACATAGAATGTAATTATATGGGGCTAGAAAAGCAATAGGAAATAAGAAAAAATGGAAAAATCCCCCCAAAATGAAAAGTATGCTGCAGACAAATTAATATTTCACACAAATCATTTAAAAAGGTAGAATATTATCTAAAAAAAAATCCAGGCCATGATGAAAATTTCATTTGCATGATATTCAGTATCAACACTCATGACAAACACAACATAATTCATACAAATTAAAACAGAAACAGGGTTAGATGGCCAATAGATCAAATCAACCACTTTTTCCCTTGTTAAAGATCAAGGCAGTAGCATTAACTTGACTAGATAAAAAACTGTTGATGAGCTACAGTCTAGTTCAAAATTCCTGATAAAATAACAAAGTTCAGAACCAAATAGAGTAATGGATGGTAATTATCTTCACAGAAACGAACAACTATTCCCACAATAATGTTCACTCGCTGTCTTGATTGCACCATCACATATCAATAAAATATCAACATATGCATGTGCATAAATGCGCTGCTACAGGTGAGCAGGCATAAATGTAGAGATAAGAACATATTTGCACATGAATACCCTTGGTGCTAGTGCTGGATGCAAAAACAACAAAGTTAAGCATGAACCGGAATAATGCCCAGAAAAGATACACACAAAATGGGTCCATCCCTCAGTAACATTCCCTAAACCTACTTTCTTGGGCACCCAATCTGCTGTCACTAAATATCAATATATGCATGTGCAAAACTGCACAGCTACATGAGTGCCTAGTTGTGTACATAAATGGATGGGTACATATGTCCACATACACAATTCAAAATTCATCTCAATAAATATATACCCTCAGTGCAAAGTGTCAAATGAAGAATGACACAGTTAACCAACAATTATAACATCAGGAAATGATAGGCTCAAAATGAAGAGCCATCACATAATAATCTTCACAACTTACCTTCTTGACTGTACAATCAACTGTAATCAAGACATGAACACAACACAAGTGTGCATACATAAATGCACAAGTAACATATAAGTATCCCTTATGCAATCTAGGTAGAAAGACCTATTCATGAACAACATCTCTATCTATCTACCAAGGAATCAACTTTAAAACCAGTCAAGGGAAATTAAAATAAAAAGAAGAATTCAAATAAATCAAATTGTGACTGGAAGAAAAAGCTGTAATGACACAAGTTTAGGAAGGGTTAAAATGTTTGGCTTCCAGAAAGCAAGCTTATCCAACAAACTACCCAACCAATACACCTATATGAGAAAAAAAATTAAAGACAATCCTCAAATCCCAAGACCAATCTAGCCCATAATATGTGATAGTATCAAAATCCAGTTTAAAGCTACTCACCACTGCTTTCCAGTTCTCATAATTCATCATATAATTATAAGAGGTATGTGAAAAAAACACTCATCTCATTTCCAACGCTACAAGCAGTGGTGTTCAATTTCTTTAAACGATCATCATGGGTGGAGGGGAAGTTTAAGTGGCCCAGAACAGGGTAACTGACCACACTTTAATAATGAATCAGGATCAAAGTTTAACAGGTCATTTGATAGGAAGAAGCAGAGTGTAAAGGAAAGGCGTGCAATGGTCATTATTGAATGGAAATCTGGAACAGCAATTTCAGGGGAAAAGAAAAGAAAGAACTTTTATATAATTTTTAATTTTAACTGTCTCAAAAATCAAAATAAATAACATCCATTACATATACCTAAGCACCACAAGAAGGACTGACAGACCCTGTAAGTAAAGCTACTCACACACATTTTGCTTAACATCTACACAATTTTTACCATCTGAGTGCAGTTGTCCCACCTAAATCTTTTCAAGCATGAACTCTGGTTCTACCACCTAAAAGAATATAAGAAGTGACTACTGATTATGAGTATCAAGCATCTTCATCCCACATCCTCTCTCTCAATCAAGAGTGATCTTAATTGATTATTAAGGGGCTGAATCCTTATGGATCTAGACCTAAGGGCTAATATGAAAATTATTTCCTATTTCACTATTTAGGTTGACTACAAAGAAATTTAACCAACAAGTAAATTGAATGAAACCACCTAACAATCCTAAACCATTACTCAAGTTGACTCAAGCATTGATGCACTGACAAATTCTGAAAACCTAATATAAGTAATATTGAAGGATAAAGTAGACTGAAATTTAAAATAATAATAATAAAAAAAAGCATCAATGCCTTGTCAGATTCTTGTCAAAGTTATAGTGCAAATGCTACTAGAGGTTTTGAGTAAATCAAACTCCAGCCATTGAGAGCTAATATCTACATATCAATAACTAATTTTCCCACATACCAAAATCATAATACCAGAAAGTTACAGCAACCCTCCCAGAGTATTTTGAAGATGTAACAGATTAAATAGAGAGAATACAATTTAACAGATTCAACAAACAGCTTTAAATAGTATTCTAAATCAACAGCATATGTCAATCTGGGAATAAAAGGGCAGTAATTAAAAGGTCAAGCAGATTAGAAATGACCAAGCTTTGGATAAAGACATTTTGTCATTTGATAGACAAACCAGAGCAAGAACCTACGATGAAAATATATAAGACAGGACTCACTTCTATCCTAGATTAATTAAAAAAAGGTCAAGCAAATTAGAAATGACCAAGCTTTGGATAAAGACATTTTGTCATTCGATAGGTAAACCAAAGCAAGAACCTAAAATGAAAATATATATCAGGCAGGACCTATTTCTATCCAAGATTAATTAAAAGAAACAAGCTAGATAGAAGAATAAACTCCAAGAACTTTTTGATGTTAATGCCAAGTCCTATAAAATAAAAATATTGTAATAAAAATGTTGGATGGGTCTCTAGTGTCACTCAGTTTCTAATTTGATGTTATCAGCAAGTCCTATTAAATCAAATGACTTTGCATCTCATTATCTTCATAAGAGTATTCCATTAAACTGTGGCCTAAAGCAGAGGGAGGTTGGCTACCTAAGAAATACCAGGAAAGGTAACTACCATGTGTTTACCACTGGGCTATAAAGGGCCAACTCAGTATGCATGCAAGAAAGATTTTCCTAACTTTTTTAGACCTTTAAGAGAGGCATCATAATAGAAGATGATAAAGAATGGAGGGGCACATTATACCTCTAATTTTATTATCCATTGTTTTGTTTCCCAAACCCTCCATACGACCATCTCTATTTTTTCCAGTATTTGTGTTATGAATGATCACCAATGGTGGCCACATGATCAGATCATCTTGATTTGCTGCTGCTTCATCAGCAGATAAAAACTGATATGCCTTTGAGTTATCAGGAGGCTTTGAGTAGTTCCAGCCCATTAAGACACACAGAGCTTTGTGTAATCCCAAATGATCGACACGTAAATCAGCATTATCTGAGTTGTAAGTGTGCATAATGAGAGCATGCATGTCTGGAAAATCTTTAGCAGACCTGAAAGTTGGCATATCAATGGCATTGAGGAATATATTTTAGGCTTTCATCCTGTAAGTACATACAGAAGGCAAAGTGACAGAATGTATTCACCCCCTTTTATTTACATTTAACACCAAAGATCTTCTTTTGAACTAAGTAACAGAGAACTACATCCTAAGTCACATCAAAGCACCAAGAAAAAGTGGGCAACCCCACCTTGAAAAGTCTCAATCAGCACTATAACATTGTCTGGTAATAAATGGCTGTAAATGCCTAATTTTTCAAGGACAATTTGACCAAAGTACACATATACCTTTAAATTGCATGACTACAAATGGAATAATTTTTTCCATGTATTAACGAGCAACTAAATTTTGTATTAAACAGGTAAGCAGATACTCATACTCTAATAAAACAAATAGTCTTCTCTCTAAAGAGATACAGCAGGAAACTCCAATCAGTACAAAATTCTTTTCATTAGGATTTCTGTTCTCAAAAGGATGCAATTATTTCCAGAGACATCCAAGTACAGGCCACAAATGAATCCAAAGCTCAACTTCAGAAATGAAGTCAAAAAGGGAACTGACAGGGTATAACCCAGCGCTTGTAAGGCTAAAGTGAAGCCAAAAGAAACAGGTAAGCTCTAAAACTCACACCAAAGACAGTAAAAAATCAATTTTAAAGAAGATAAAAAATTTATAAGGAATAACCATGTTATTATGGTTCTAAGTTTAAAATAATTAAAGACCCACTTCATCAAATACTGCTCTGTGACCCGCACCTAAAATGCCTACAATTCTACACTTCTTTTACAGCTAGCAAAACAGCCTCAATAGTTATAAGTAATAACCGAAATAATCATAGTCAAATGATCAATGCACCTTGTGTTCAAACTATACAAAAGACTGAAGAAACCTATATATAGCACAGGAAAGGCTATACTGCCTTCATAGATTAGAATAATTAAGAAGTTGGAAATTGATAGCAATAGCAGGCATTTAAGAAATCAACCAACGTTAGAGAAGTGTGGTGGGGTTTAGAGAGGGTAGATGTACACAGCCTCCTCACCCCCGCAAGCAGAGAGGTTGCATCCATCTACAACCTGCGACCTCCAAGTCACAAAGCCTCAAATTACTGTTGCTCCAAGGCCTACCCTCTAAATCAAGCAGTGTTGTTGAATGGCGGTGCCATGGCAGTTTTTAAGCCTACCATTAAACCGCTTCTATTATATGGCATTTTTACGTGGCGGCGCCATGGTGGAAAACCTTCAAAAATGGCGGATTCAGTGGTTTGGGCCCAAACCCGACCCGGTCCAAGGATGACCCATGCAGAAAACTTAAATAAGTCCTCTTCTTCGTCACTCAAAATCTTACTCCCTCATCTCAGATCTCTCTTCTTCTCTAATCCCTCTCATCTCTGTTCGACTCCAATCCCTTTCATCTGTTCATCTCCAATCCCTCTCATCTCTATTCGTCTCTCTATCTTCTCCAATGTTGCACTCGTCTCAAATCTCTCTCTTCTTTGACCTGTTACTTGTTCTGCTTGCGGCCGCCATTCTGTTCTCCATCTCTGGCGACATCTCCATCCCCATTTCCCGTGACTGGTCCTCCATCTTCGGCGACTCCATATTTTCTGGTAGCCATTTTTTCTTATTTTTCCCCCACTCTCACAATTTTTCCTTTATTTCAATTTTACCTTTTCCATCTTTCAATTTTTTCCTCTTCCACATGTTTGTTTTTTCTCTGTTTTTCCTATAAAAAAAAAATCTTTATTTCAGCTTCCTCTTCCACATGTTTGTTTTTAATGTTAACATGATATTTGATAATTGCATATTTTGTATTGAATTATGCTTTAGATTGTGGGTTATACTACATATATTTTGTATTAATTATTTTCTATCATTTTCTGTGATCTATAGTATTTTTTTATATATTTTATTATATCCGCCATAACCCACCATAGCGGCCGCCATAACTTTATGGTAGTTTTTTGGATTTCTGCCATGAGCTACCATCCGCCATTGATAACATTGAAATCAAGTAATATTAGGGTCTTAAAAAGAATGAAAGCAGAATTTTTTCCAAATTTGAAGCCATAAAGGGCAACAAACTTGTTAAGAAGCATAAGAGCTCCAATGTAAAAATACTCCAAACAAGAACAAAAATAATGCAGATGTGTTGCCAATGCCATATTAGAACACGAGTATGATCCGTGTCATGAGGCAAAAGAGCTGCAAAGAATGAGAAAATTTTAATAGAAGCTTGCCACTATTGAGTCACCAAAACAGAAATTATAGAAAGATCATCACAGCTGCATAGGAATTATGAGACAAGCAACCGTGACATCATAAGCATATCTCATGGAAGAATTAAGTTTTTCAATCCATCAAATTGTACAGAACCATCAAGTCACTTCAGAATAACTTCCACAAGTCCAGAAATACCATTTCTCTCTATTTCTAACAGAACAACTAAAGCAACAGAAGAAATATATAAGCTCAAAAAATATGCTAGCCAGTTCAATAAGGATGATTACTTATGGAAATGACTCCACATAAACAACAGCAACCAATGACATAAATACAAGTAGATAAACTTAAAGGGCTTCCAAAGTCGCTACTCACTCTTTTCCAGTTATATCACTGAATACAAATCCTCCAATGAAATTTCCAGGCCAAACTAAATGAATCATAAGTGCAAAAATAAAACTTCTTATGAATCTAGTTTCCAGTACCATACTGTATAAAATTCATGGGCGACCATTGAACCAGTTCAGAGTTTAGTGGATTATAGAATGACAACTGCTAATACTCACAAACATGACATAAGTTTGATGACTAAACTCTATGCTGTCAAAGTCAAATATAAACATAGATACAAAATTGGCAGCCTGTTTGGAGGACCAAGCTTCCTAGGCTTGTGAGTTGTGAATAACTGAAACTGTGCTATTACTGCCATATCTTGTTATAAGCTACAATATAAAGAAGCAACATTCGGATCAGAAACCTAATAATCCAACACCTAAGCTCCAGATACATCTAAGCGATGAGTGTTGTCAATCTGAACCAAAGTAATCAACTTCCACAACTCAACTGAGCTGCACAAGTTTACAAAGACAGAATAAGAGCCATCATCTAAAACCATAGACACCTCTTTCTTAAGACTTAGATTTGTCACAAATATTCCACGATCCAAATACTTCCTCTCCTCTATCTCCTTGAATGCTATTGCCTAAGCGAAGGATCAAAGGTGCCCCTACCGTGCAAGTCAACTCATTGGCCACGAGGCATGCCATTCTTTTAGTGCCTCAATGATAATCGTAAACACTGCCAAAAGTCCAACCATCTAACTTACTAAGTGTCATGCTAAACGGGGCAAAAATAGTCTAAATGTTACAGCACAAGTTGTAGTTCTTTGGGATCTTAGCAGCAAGAAACTCGAGTTACCTAAAATCCTAATTTGTCTAACTTTTTACTTTTAATTAAGAATGTTATGCTGTGCTTGAATATTCAACTTACAAGAAGAAATATCGCAAAATAAGCACACTATATAGCTCCCTTCTTCTTGCCTCGAGATAACAAAACCGCATATTCCCCCTTCTTGCCTTGGACTACTTACATTGCTTTTAATGCTACAAATAAACCCAGAGGAGAGAAACATAGAATAAAAAATCATAATTATCTGAATTCTACCAAACCTGCCACTGCCACAGGCACAAGCAACACACTGAAGGCGTCCTTGCTTCCCATCCTCCAAGTAACTCTTCTTCTGAGAGGCATTTTCGTTAACAAGCTTAGCAAAGTGAAGAAAAGCCTTCTTCAACTTGTCCTGGTCAACCTGGGGATGCCTAGCATCAAACCTCAAGTGCTTGGAAGGTCTGAACTCAGACTCCAAATCACGCTTGAGGGCGCCACTAGGGCCGGCAAAAAGGTCTGCGCCAGGAACCCTAGCAAGGCCATTAGCATTGCGGAGAAGCTGATCCCTTTGCCTAGCGAGGTCATCGTCGTCGCCGCCGTATTTTCTCTTGGCGGCGGATGCTTCGGGGGGGTTGCGGTGGTAATCGGGGAGGCGGAAGCGAGGAGGAGGAGGTGTGAAATCTTGGTAATCGGGTGGGAGGGCGAAGTACGATCGGACGCTGCCGTCGGCGAGGACGATGGTGCGGCGTTCGAGCATGTGGAAGCCATAGGCCGGTGGAGGGGGAGGGCCAAGGGGGGCGGGGTCGGGGAAGGGGAAGAGCGGGTGATCGGTGGGGTGTTTGGGGTGAGCGGGGCTAGGATTAGGGTTAGGGTTTGGTTTGATTTTTGGAGAGAGTTTGGGATCTGATGGAGATTTGGTGGTTGTTGAGGTGTTGGGTTCCCATCGGGATTTGCGGTGGGAGGCGGAGGGCGGTGGCTTGTGATGAGAAGACTTGGGATGGTTACCGCCGGCCATCCTGCGGTGAGTGGTACCCAATTCGATCCCAAAGCCACACTTGTCCAATTCAATACTATCACCACTTGCCACAAACCATTTTCTCTTCTTTATTCCTTTCCTTTGTTAATTCAGAGAGAGATACAAAAGATGAACGAAAGAAGCACCCCTCTTTCTAAAATTAATCTTCAGTGGTCTAATGTAATTGAAATATGACCGTAAAATAATTTAAATTATATAATTTTTATTAAAATATTTACTTTGTATTAAAAAGTGAATTGATTTTTTTTAGCAAAGTTTTTAAACAAGCACAAAGTTACATTCTTTTTTATTTAATAAAATGATATTTTTAATATGCGCTAAAAAGACACCCTTCATGCATGGAAAGAGCCATCCTTAAACTCAAAGAAACTCCCAATTAAGACATTCAATATATACTGTAACAAAATTATTTTATCTTCCCACCTTAAAGTGAGGATTAATTGCTTATCATTTTAGTGTGAAGACCCTTCGCAGTCATGCTAAGATTTAAATTTTCAATCAAATTCGAAGTCATAAGAATCAGATAGAAACACAAGAACATTGTATGTTCCTTTGTTAGTTTTTAACCTAATTTTCTTCTTTAATTCCTCGCAGAAGTTCCAAAGGTTTTATCACAAAAAGTTTAAGCGATCAGTTGCTGTTAGATTAAGCAACTTAAAAATTATTTATAAAATATAAAATTAAATAATTTAATTGTTAGTTTGAATATTTTTATCAAATAAATTATATTTATAAAGTTTTATAAAAAAAATAAAATGATTAAATACTTTATTTTATTACTTTATTTTAATCAGTATTATATTTTTAAAATATATATAAACAAATTTTGAATAATATGCCTATAAATATTTGTTATAAAATTTAATATATATGACTACACAGATAATATAAAATAATTTCTCAGTTAGATTAATTAATCTTGTAAATGTATAGTGCCTTTAAAAAATATTTCTATTTTTATATTTTTAAAATTATGTAAGAAACAATAAAAACAAGAACAAAAATCAATATCTCAATTACAAATCATTAAAAATATGAAATAGGATAAAAATAATTTTATAATTAAAACAAAAAAAGGAAAACATAAGTGAATGATAAATTTTTATTTTAAATTAATAATATTTTATGCTTAAATTAATCTATTATTTTATATTTTAAATTTAAAAATAAATTAAAAAACTTAAACCATCCCGGTCAACAAGTTCAGAACACCCTCGTGAGGGTTTTCTCCCAACAATTCTCTCAATCACTCGCTCATTAATCATAGGAAAATGCTAAAACCTATAACTAAAAATTAAATCTTCATAAAACACGACACACAAAGTTCGAGATGGTATGAATGAATTTGTCGTTTGTGAATAACAGAACTTACACTTTCAAGCAAAATATTCCATTTTTGTTTGGAGAAGCATAGATTTTCATGGTACGTTAATCACACTACTGTCGACAAAAAACATGAGTAAGTATCAGGTTTTGACTGTTAATCAGTATTGCTGGGTCCTGTTATAATGAATAGACATTTTGTAACACCATGAAGACATTTAAAAGAGGCTGACTAGTTGCAATACCATCGCATGTAAATAAATAACGATGAACTTCTAAAATATAAAGAGAATGAGTTAGTGAGTAGCAATGTAACACAGTGAAAAATAAATATTTTTCAGACAACAGTGACAAAGTAACAAAGGCAAAAGAGACATCTAAACATTGTGAATCTTTAAACTGAGAAAAACACAATGGAGAACTGAGACACCAAAATTTCAGGCAGAAGATGTGAACTTGAAGTACAGAAAAATCAACGCTTCTTAGAGACACCAACAGTCTTGCCCCTGCGCCCTGTGGTCTTGGTATGCTGTCCACGAACTCTAAGACCCCAATAGTGCCGGAGACCACGATGATTTCTGCACATTAACAAATCATGTTACATTTATTAATTCATCCCAACTCAATTTTGCAAAATGATTTAAGAGATGCATGTTAACATTCTCTTGAATCCACGTGATGACTCATCTAAACATGAAAATAACAAGATCAACAAAAAATCTGAGGAAAAAATGGGTTAAGTTGACTTTAAATTATGGAAGGAGTTTGATTCATTTACCTCTTTATATAAATACTGCTTGAGAAACTTATCCAAACTAGGCCATATTCAATATTTTATATAAATACTTTGATTAATAAGAATAACCCTTTGCATAAAAAGTTATAGACACACCACAGATTATACACGCTTTGAATTTCGGTTATTCTATACAAGTATCCTACAGTGGGGAGTAATGACTAATCAGGAAATGCCCAACATAGCTATTAGCTAAAATGTTGAATAACGGAATACAATGACCAACCTTATCTTCTTCAAACGCTCAAGATCATCCCTGAGTTTCATGTCCAATGCATTGGATACAACCTGGGAGTACTTGCCATCCTTGTAATCCTTCTTCCTGTTGAGAAACCAGTCAGGAATCTTGAACTGGCGTGGATTTGCCACAACCACCATCAATTGATCAAGTTCGGCAGCTGATATCTCACCAGCTCTGCAGAAGAACATTTGAATCAAATTCTAGTTAGATGAAAGCAATACTTTCCAAATGCTAAACTCAGCAAAACAGTCTAAATCACCAAAGAAAATAAATAAAAGAAATTGATGCAGCGTCTGCACATAATACTAACAAGTAACAATTTTTTTTTTGTTAAAAGGCATAGGGCTTTGTAAATCAGATTTTGCTATGAACGAATCTAATGCAAAAGTTGTATGTAGTGCTTGAAACAAGTGCAGACAAACCTAAATATCTCTTAAACCCATTACAAAACCAGTTTTGCGGTCTTTGCAGGAAGATCAACAAAAAAAAAAAAAAAACAAAAAAGATTTGCACACAATTTTCCAAAGTTAATTAATGAATGTAAACTCTCGTAGCTATGGCATCAAATAAAAGATAATAGAAACCCACAAGTCAGACATGTAAAATCAATCTACCAAACAAAGCATGATATGGGATACCCGTCAATTTTTATTTAATCAAATTGAACGAAATTCGAAAACCCAGAATATATTGCCAAAAAATAAAATAAAAATTGGAACCTTTTGTTCATGTCGACATCGGCTTTCTTGCAAACCATGTTGGCAAAACGGCGACCAATACCTTTGATGGAGGTAAGGGCAAACATGATCTTCTGTTTGCCATCGACGTTCGTGTTCAAAACACGAAGAATGTGCTGGAAATCCTCGTTCGCCACCAGAGACTGCAATAACAACCCATCAACACCCATATGAAAAAGATTCAAACTTTGCAGTGAAGAAAGGGAGAAAAAAAAGGCTAAAAATAAAACGAAACGCGAATCAAAACAAATTGAGTTAACTCACCATGGTTGATTCACTCCCTCCCTCTCTCTCTCTCCCCGGAGTGCAATGCAAGACAGCGGAAAAGGTGAGAATAGAAGCAGTGAAGATATTGCTCTTAAAATTACAAAAACCCTAAAAAGCATCGTGCCGCCGCTGTACTGGGTATAAAGTGTGATTATGAAAAAGTTTGGGTTAATTTGAGAAAATGGAAAACAAAGGGTATTTTTTAATTAAAAAGATATTGTAATGACTGTTTTAGCCTTGATCTTTTGGATAAGCCTTTGTGCCAGTGAGTAGTGTGTGTTGAGGCCGAGATTCTTGGGAGTTTGTGAGTTGCTCAGGTAAGAGAAAAAAAAAAAACATTCTCGTTTCTTCCAAATGCTAAGTTGTTACTTTTTTTGGGGTGCGCTGTGTTCAATTATTCCGTCAAATTTTTTACTCAGAACTCAGCCATTAAGTGGTACAGTGCTCCTGAAAATTTTAGAATTTCGTTATGATTTATAATGCTGATTTTTTCAACCGTTTTATTGCTACCCTTGCCACTGGAAGTAAGTAGTGTCATTTGTTGCTTGCTAGTGTATGTTTCTGAAATTAAATCGGCATATGAATTGCGGATGGTTTACAGTACCTTGGATTGCAGAACTTCCGTGCGTTTATTTTTTTTGGTTAAAGTAGTGGGAACTCAAATTCTGTTATTTGAATTTCTCAAACTTGAAATTTCCAGCGTGGTCAAAGGGATTCTTATTATATTGATTTTGAGTATGTTCTCTACTTATGATTCACCTGTTATTTCTTTTGGAAAAGATTATAATCATGAGGTAATGAACCCATCTTAATTATAATCATGCTTAAGCCCTCTTCTATGCCAAAATGTTTTGTTATCTAATCAACTTCTTGCTTGAGTTTCACTCTCTCTTGTATCCAACATTTTTTCAGCACATTTTTCCTTTCTTGTTGTAGGAAGTAAGCCCTCTAATCGAATATGTCAGGGGCTTTCCCTTGCAACATTGAAGAAAATGAATCTGCTAAGATTTTCTTCATGATATTACACTCCAGAGCTCTTCTAAATAATGCACACTTGCACAGGAAGATGGTAAACCCCTTCCTTGGTATTATCTAGCATCATTTACTAAAAGGAGGCAAATGATGATGAGTTGCACATGTCCTGTATGATGAGTTGTGTTTTCTCTTCTCTAAAAGGAGGCAAATGATTGCTGAAAGTTATATCTTGTGTCTTCTTCCACTTAACAGATTAAGATTTGATGTAATAGGGAGAATCAACCGTTACACAAATACGCAACTTTCTAAATTTTAAAATGTTCCCCCTCTTTATTTTGATTAAACACCTTGATATATGTACATATGTGTTCCACTGTCCATTCTTCAATGAAGAAAGCAAGGTTTCACATTGCATATAATTGTATGATTAATGAGAGAAAATTTATGAATAATGACACACACAGGTGATATCCTCCAATACTTGACCAGCACGATTAAGAGACGATCGCTGCTTTGCGTATTTAGTGGATGTAGCTCAGCCTTGTGGAAATTTGTAGAGGAGGATGACATTAATCCTTGTTGCAAACATGTGTTCCATTATAAGTTCCAAAACAGATGAACGGATCAAAAGATTTGATATCGAAGGTATGTTAAACACTTTTTCCTTCCTCCCTTTCTTTTGTCTATTCTCTTTTCCCTTGAAATGACAAATTTTTGTGCAACTTCGGTGTTGTACGGTGTATTTGCTGTTTTTATGCAACTTCGGTGTCTTTTTCCTCAGGTTCTTGTATCACTATTTTTTATGCTAAAAGGGTCACACTATTCATCTGAGTTGTTATTTTCTGATTGAATATTCTGACATAATGGCATGATATGGTGAAGTAGGAAAGATAAAACCGTATCATGGAACTAAAAGAAAAGAAACTAAAATCAATAACAGTATTATAATTTGAGAGTGGACTACATAATTGCACCATATCATTTATTGACAGCTTCTGCAATATAACAGGTAGACTGCAATCCAGGTCTAATATTGCACTGCCTCCTCTGGAAGCTTCATCAAGTCGCAGGCATCTTTTAGTCGGTGTTGGCACTTCATTGGTTACCTTGACATGTTGTGGTTTATCACCTTTAATGGTATGGGCTGAAGAGAAGTCAGCTGACAAAGAGGAAGAAGATAAAAGCATCATTGGGGCCATCAAATCATTATTTTATCCTAATGAAAAAACAAAGTCTGGAATGGTGTTGCCAAAGGCATACTTAAAGTCAGCGAGAGAGGTAGTGAAAACACTGCGGGAATCTTTAAATGAAGCCCCTGATGACATTGCCAAATTTAGACGAACTGCAGATGCAGCAAAGGAGTCAATTCGTGAATATTTGGGCAGTTGGAGGGGAAAGCAAACTGTTGTTCAAGAAGTATGTACTTCTATGCAATGAAAATCCAATGACTTGAATAGCATATACGCTGGCATTTTTGTTATGAATCACCCTTTCAGATTTACATGTATCTGATCATGCTTTGGATGGATTCCTTGCAGGAATCATATGTAATTTTGGAGAAAGCAATCAGATCTTTGGCAAACTTTTACTCAAAGGCAGGACCTTCAGCCCCATTGCCGGAGGAAGTTAAGTCTGAAATATTAGATTATCTAAATACAGCTGAAGAATTTTTGTAGAAAAGCTTTCAATAGGTGTTATAGAAACAACTACATTTCAACCGCCCTAGATGCTAGATGGCGTTTGATTCTGTAAATTTATTCTTCGTTAAAATTCAATTTTGTACGAAAAACTTGATCAAACTTTTTTCTTCCTTGCTTTCATTCTTTTATGTGTGAATTTTACTCCGCTAGGTTTGGTTGATGACAAGTAAAAAGAGAAAGAGCAAGACACTTTCTTATCCTTGTTTTAATGCTTTTATTTACAATCCTCTCAACTGCTTCATATGTACTCATCTGTCGCCCAAAAACACTACAACGTAACACTCAATCCTATGCCTCCAGCGAAAGATGCGTGGATCATAATTCATTGAGTCCTAACAATCTGACTGGTCCCGACCAAAAAGACATGAAAGTATATTCCATTTAATATCTTTATTAAAAGAGGTACAAAAGTAAAACATTAGAAAATTTATTTTTATTTCTAGAATAAATGTACGTACAACAATATTGTTTACAGAGGGCAGTAACTTATGTAAAAAAATACTGGCCACAGCATGGGGGATTTATCATCACACGACATCGAAGGACTTGCCATTGTGGAATTTGGAGCCTGGACTAGCGACCATTTAGAATGCAAATACCTTTAGAACAATGGAGAACCATCCGCTGGAGATTTTAACTACGAGACAGAACCCCTTTTGAACTGCACATACACAAATATGGATAATATTAGTTTTACATGAGCTGCAGATTCAGGGAAATTTACTAGTTTTCATAGAAATATTGCAAACGTGAATGTAAAGCATGTAAACAAACAAAATGATTACTATATTATTTGAAGATATACAAGGAACTGGAATCTCGATCCCTAGTGTTTGTTATGAAGGAATTAGGAGGAAAAAAAAAATATATATACATATATATATATATATATATATATATATATATATAAAACTGGCTTCAAGTAATAAGAGCAGCATATAATATAATGAATAAAATATAATTATCATCATCTTCTCAAAAAGCAGTTTCAAAGATATCATACCTTGGTATACTTCCATGGCGACGTGGATCACACTCTGTTGCTTGTCGAAGAGCCCTAGCAAAAGCTTTGAAGGTTGCCTCAATGATATGATGAGAATTTTTTCCAGCAAGCTGTGCTCAGGAGAATGGATATAAATTCTGTTAAAGGGTTTTCAAAATTTGAATAAAAGACATCGAGTAAAAAAAGCACAAGCACAAAAAAATTCAACTTGAAATAAGTAGTCAATGCATTAGGAATATAGAAACAATATTGTCAATTTCTAACCTATGTGGTTATCATATACTGCAAAGAACCATGGTAAAACATCTGGCCCATTTGGTAGACAAGATAAGAGAACAGGATGAGATATATTTTCCTATCCTATTTAACATTTGCATAACCAACAGAATGTAACAAGTTTTCTTGTAGGCTTATCCTATTATATTTTTGTGTAAATTTTATTATATAGGGAGGTCTAAATAAAATTAGACAGGATAAGATAACTTACTAATTTGTTATCTTCATGTGTGTCAAAATAAGAGCCTACTCTCTTATCTTGTTCTTATTCAACTCTTTAATCCTATAATGTCAACCAAATGTTTCTTCCATAATGATATGCACAAATATATTAACAAATTTTTTTAATGACTACAACTGATTATGACCTACATTCTATGTATTAATACCTGCCGAATGTGAAGTGTCATCCCGGATGTGTTCACCAAGGATTGGAAGAAATGCTCCACCAACTATAAACGAGATTATCCAGATGATTCATAAGTAAATAATAAGAATTAACGTGAATGCCAACAGGCACAAGCAGCATGATAAATGATTAACATAAAAAAGATTCTGGAAACATTAGAAGCTCAACAGTCAAAGCTATATGGACAAAATTCAAAACCTCAATGATAATTAAACAAGCATACAGTACCTGAGTGTCATATGTCCCAACCCTCTGAGTCGGTATGTCCAAATTATAACTTAGATGTGGTCGGCCAGACAAATCCTGTATAAGTTAAGTGTGTTAGGAACCATGATGAAAATAGAGAGAAATAAGAAACTGAAAAATGAATAAAAGAATAAAACAAGGAGAAAGATCTCTCCTCCAAGGGTTTTCCCACACAACTGAGCCACTGCACTGTTTACCTAATGCTAAAAAATCTGGATGACACTTCATTTTACTCCTACTCCTATTTAAGCTAAAATCACGTCCTTCCAACCTCTCTAACTAATTTATCTACTATCTACTGATATGATGCTCTACTGTAACTAACTTGTGAGTGATTGTTGATATTTGCGAATCTAAACAACAAAGGAGGAAATTTCAATTCAGAAACCTAGTGTATAATACAAATTCGATGTGGAAAAACAAGCTTACAAATGCGATCAGATTGGGTGCAAGAACTTCCTAATTTCAATTCAGAAACCTAGTGTACAAGTACTTCTAGATCTAATTAATGAATGAGCCTCAACACAGGCTCATCAGTGCCCCTTTGTCCAACGTAACCAAACTTAAGAGTCAGCAGATTTTCTTGATGCACATTAATCAATATGATAATGTATAGAACTGTTTTGATGTTTATTTTTATCCATTTTCCATTTTTGTAAGCAAGGACAAATCTCACCTTTCCCCCAATAGACATGATAACTTGAACCTTTAGCTAATAATCAGTGATAATTTCTACAAACAGTGTGCAAATTACCAGTGAAACGTGTATTAATGCTTCATCAAGTGGAGCAGAGAAGTCACCGAACCGATTAATACCCTTCCTATCACCAAGAGCCTGCAGCAAAGCCTGACAATGAAGTAATAGAAACCTCTTAGTTTTAATAAGATGATTGATAAATGCACTAACAATTGTAATATAGAAAGCCAAAAAGAAAAGAAAGAATCAGCTCATGTAATGATTGGCAGTACTGTTCCAATAGCAAGGGCTACATCTTCATTTGTGTGATGATCGTCAATATGTGTGTCACCTGTAGCCTTCACGTGTACATCAAACAGCCCATGGGAAGCAAGTTGCTGAAAAATCACAATCAAGTTTAGTTTCCATAACTATTTTCTCCATTGGATAATTTTACATCCTTAACAGCCTTTAATGCTTAGGTTTTTCAAGTTACAAAGCCAAAAAAAAAAAAAAAACTCATTTATGATCATATTCTAACAATTCAAATGTTTTCAAGGAGATACATTCTTTTATACACAAGTTATCCCACATCCACCTAGCTTTTCACCTCTTCCATTCCAGATCACCATGCTCATTATTTTATTATAGCAACAACTCTGATGGAATATTACGCATTGTAAGTTTGAATGCCTTTTACTAAACTAATATCAAGTGTACAGAGAACTGTATAATAGATTAATAGTGTTCTGTAAATTTTGTTTAACTTGTTCAAATTTAATTTTTGGGCCTTACATTTTGATGTAAATAATAATTGTTAGATTGACAATTTTTTATATATACAAAAGGAAATAATTAGTATGTGAAGTTATTTGAGAAATATTACAACTTTGAATTTGGATTTATAAATAATTTGAAAAGTATAAACAAGTCTTAAACTCATTTTGTCTTTTCAAGTTACATAAATTCATAGAAAACTTGATGCATATTTAAGGAGTGTAAAACTTTATTTTGTAACGTGCATAACCTACAATAAAGGTAATTATTACATAATTTCTCAACATTTTAATATCAAATATCAACATGCAGTAGTGTTTTGTGCCCATTAATACTCTATAACTTTCATTTATAACTGAAAAATAGCGATAACGAAATAATAAGAGCGAGATCAGATTTTTAATTAAAATTACAACCCGAAAGCTTCAGAGTCAATTTTCAATAAAATATGCATTGAACTAAAGAAGGCAAAACTAATAGAATAATTGTATTAGGTAATTTTTAATTAATTATTTAAAATTTATCTTTGGCCCTCCACAACATTTACTTTCTGGATCATACAAGTATATATATGTAAGTGAGCAGAGATTGAGATCTCACATTACATTTTCAGGCAGATAGCAACAATGGGATATAAAATATATAAAGTGAAAAAAACAATAAAGTAAAATACTAGCAAACAAAATTATGAATCAACGGCAACAAGAAAGTACTAAAATTGAATTGAAATTACTGACATCAAGCATATGATCGAGGAAGGGAATTCCAGTACTGCTATCAGCAACCCCACAACCATCCAAGTTTATTTTGACTGATACATTGGTCTCCTTGGTGACCCTTTTCACCTCTCCAATTCTAGCACCTGAAAGAGATCAAGAAAGCATTCAAATTCATTGGAAAATCGAAAATCTCAAAGAACGAAGAATTGAATTCAAGGGAAAGAGAAGAGACCTGAGTCAACAGGCAAAGGTATTGATGTAGCGGAAGTGTTGTCTCTCACCAAAGCAGCAGAAGAGATGTCTCTGGGAACATCATCCATTCGAGTGAGATTAAGTTGATTGACTGAAAAGATTGCGGCTTGGGAAGGTGTGCATGTTAATTTCGGTGTTCTCTGAAAAACCCTAACCCTAGATTTCAGAAACAGAGATGAAGGACATCGTGACAGACAGGGTGGTGCAGACATCTCCATTTAGATTATGAATCAAACGCAAACTCTCAATATGTTACAAATTTTTTTCCACATAAAAAAATCGAGGAATATCAGTTTGACTCGTTATTTTTTTCCTTCCTTTCTTCATCGAATCATCCTTTTCGATGTTTATTTAATATGTATATTTTTTTTCTGTGTATAAAGTTATAGTAACACTCTTCGAAAATTTAAATAATTATTTATTGAAAATGGATTTTTTTTTTTAAATTCGGATTTCGGAAGCATCAAAATGAGCATTAGAATCAACTTCGAAATATATTTTGAAGGTGATCATGAAATATATTTTGGTAAAAATAACTATTATTATTTTGGGAATCCATGAGATGCAATAAGAGTTCTTTTTGCATGTTTCTAGTTTTTAAATCTTTGTGAAAAATCGTAAATAACTAATTAATTAACTAATACCATTATCACATTAACTAATTAATTAATCGTAAATAACACGTTACCGCGCCGTTAAGACAAGACTCTTTCTTCTACTAAAAAGTTTGTTTACAAAACATGCAAACCATTAATTAACTAATAAATTTAAATTATAATACACTAAAAATATTTTAAAAATATCATCATACAATTTTTTTTGTAGTCTTTTTTATACACACAATTAATAATCAAATCCTCATGAGCATGTTTGAGAGACTTAATTGTTTTTCAACTGTGCCAATCTTTACTGGTAAACTTCATTTAAAAAAAATAAAAGATTATTTTTAAATAATTTTTTCTTCCAATACTAAACATATCACTAATATTTTTCTTACAAATTTCAAATCAAATATTAACAATAATGAAAAAAATAATTAACACCTATTAATTCATGTGATAAAAAATTTAAATAATTTAAAATATGATTTAATTTTGAATCTTTTAAAAATATTAAAAAATTTATTCTCTTAAATAAATTCACTTAACCAGTCTCAGGTTTGTCGAGTTCAATGTGACTTCAGAATTAAAAAATAAAACAATCTCGCTAATTTTGTCTTTCCGTCCACGCCTTATTTTGTAATTTGCAATACTTTATTCTCTATTTTGATCCAGAATCATGCACACAAAACTATGAACATGAAAATTCAATTTTATGTCCATTATAAATTAGTTAAGCAAAATTACATCACATCACGTTTGTACTTTCCCAAATTCTCAAGCAAATATAACGACTTCGCCTTATTGGGAGTATTTACATTTGAAATAATTGTTAATCTACTATTTTCATTTTGAAAAGAATGAGAAATTAGTTCACCATGAGCTAACTTGTTTAATTTTGATTTATTTAAAAATAAAAACTCCCAGCTAGGTTTCTATTATAAGCTATTTTAAATATCAAATGAACTAATCCTAAAGCAATATATAAATTAGTCAGGAAATCAATATCCTGCATTCATAAGAATGGCAGTTCCACCAGGCTTCAGAATCTTTTATGCCATATAAATCTCTACATCAAACATGATGAGAACTCTGATCACGGAGACAAATGGGTTAAAGCCTCTCATGAAATGAAAATGGACCTATGATTCTAAGGGACGTCACAAGTACAATAATATTATTCGAGATGGCATCAATTGCCATTTTGACATCAAACATTACCTTAACCTTAATTACAGAAAGAAAAAGCGAACAAAACAAAAAAAAAAACCTCACCAACCCAGACAACAAACGCTTTACAAAGAAAGGTCTTTACAGCCTACAAGCAGGATCGTTATTCACTGCGCAGTGCACCCACAAATAAGGTTCCTGATGTAAGAAAACCCCATTCACATGCCATTCATTTTAATATTAAGACAAACCTGTGTTCTACTGAAAGCATCGGAACCCCCAAAAATGGAACATCAAGATCGAACTTCTGAATTGAAGAACTTGGGCAGACATGGATCACAATGCTGAGTAGAAGGTGCTACTAGGATTGAAATTTAAAAAACATTGATACTTGCTTCCATAAACGGGCCATCATAATGTAAACAAGTCAATAAAAAATATGCCGCCAATCAAAACAAAATTGTTCCAAGTATCTGTCACAGCTGATGTAATGTGATGAATTACTGTGGACATATAGTGACACAAGCCTTGAGATGGAACCTAAATCCACTCCACCAGATTCAGATACAGACTACAAGAATCATATAATACACTCAAAAGGATCTGCTCACGCATGAACTATGTAGGATTGGTGCACATCGCAGGCAAACTTCTTCATCCATTGAGTATTCACACAGATCTTGAGCCAAAAGCCCAAAAACTACCTTCAAACATTTTGGCAAAAAAACAGTCACATGAACTGAGATTAATTAGAACCTTGAGAAATTTATACTTAAAAGACAGACATCAGGAGGGGACCGATTACTATTTCCCTTGAAATCAATATAACCTTTTCATACTATCCTGATTAAAGCATGACACATACGCTCCGAAGCCTTGAAAATTGATCGTTTACAAGGCATCGAGTCTTTGAAAGAAAATTGTGAGAGTCGCATGCAGAACTAAAACACATCAGCAATATTAGACTCGATCATTCTCTTATACTGGATCAATTTCAGAACTATCACCAGAAGCATTTAGGCCTGTTTCATTAAGATGGATTTCATTTTATGCAACTTCTGTTTCCATGTGTGAACTCTTTTCTCCCTCATGCAATTTCACTATTCAACTCAGATCTTACTTCCAAAGAACAATCACCAGCATGATTACAAACAGAACCAGAGATATCAACATTTTCCTTATTCTCCTTGGAAATATTCTCTTGAGATAAATTCACCGAAGGACCAGTTTCATGATCCTCATCACGGGTATCATTTGTATCAACCTCTTCAGAAGAAAGAGCATTATCATTCAAGGCATGACATTTCCTGTCAGAAACAAGTTCAACCATGTTTTTAGCAGAATCAGGGTCAGAACAAGCTGTTTCCTGACCCAAAACTGGAATTCCAGGGCAATCGGGAGCATCTATTGGAAGAGTAGTTGTAGAAATGTCATTTGATGAAACGAGCTGACATTTGGAAAGACAAAGTTTATCATTAACAGGGCAGGTCTTCCCTATTTCATTTTTCTTTTCAATTACTCCATGACTAGTACTAGAAGGAGAAACACAATTATCTGAAATGGAATCAGATAATCTTTCCTCAGAATGAGATTTGGAGCAAACAGTCCTACCAACCATACCTTGATCGTTTAGTTCTTGAGAAGCATCACTACATTCATTGTTCATCTCATTGGCAGGATCTGAACTAGCATCTTCACTTCCATGAGGATCTTGCAAATCGGAGGCATCCACATCTAACCTATTCGCTGTATTGGGCTTAATAAAATCCTCATCTCCATTTTCAATTTTCTCAGCACCTGTTGGAATAGAAAAGTGAAATGTGTATACAGTCAAAAATAACTTTCAGAAATTTGAAAAAAATAATAAATTGCAACAGTATTATTACCCTCAAGTCTTCCTTGCTCCACTAACAGCTTCTGTAACATATCAATACCAGGGAAGACCAACATATTCAATGACCTTGTTTCTTGCCTGAGTGATTCCTCAAGATGTGTGAAGCCAAAAACTTTTGTCCACGTATGAACAAGTTCAGAAATTGCAGGAATAACCAATTTCTCAACCTTCAGAGAACAAAGAGTCTGCCAATATGGATGTAGAGCAAAAGATAAAAACATGTCAATATCAAGAAAAAACAGGCAAAAGGATACATAACAGCCAAAATTTTAAACAGATATCAGATGAAAAGAACATGACAAACAATAGCACTTCGGGTTTACCAATTCGATGGCAGAAAAAAGTCGGCGACACATTCCCTGATGCCTATATATATGGCGAGTTCCAATGAATGGCATCTCAGCTAACTTAGTCCCATGGAATCTAAGACAAGATAGTAAATAGCCTAAAGTTAAGCTTATTCTAAATTTTTTACAATAAGGAATAAGAAAACATACATAGTTTATACACTTTATTCTAAGCTCCATAAATAAAGGGAAAAAGGATTCATTGAATCATTTATTAAGGCTCTCGATAAATTTACACAAAAATAAAATAAAATAAAATGACAAACTTTGATGATTAGGTTAGTACCTGATAGATGCTGCAGAAATTATTTCATCACCTCGCTCCAAAATAGCTGTATAAAAGCCACTATAATTCAACCGACTGAAGTTTGACCTACAAAAAAAGAGAAAGCCAAAAATCACAAAGGTTAAAAAGAAGGAACCTTACAGCAAACAATAATATCAAGAAAATATCCGGACTCTGAAAACAATGACATCAACACCATGAAATGTTTTCAATAGAACACAGAAATTTTTAAAAATATATAAGCATTTAAATAAGAAAAGCAAGATGAACTAAGCCATATAGCATGAATATATACATATATATATATATAGAGAGAGAGATAGAGAGAGAGAGAGAGATCTAATATCCCACTGTTAAAAAAAGTAAACAAGGTAAAGACAATGCTATCTCTAAAAACATGCCATCATGTCACATTGAAGTTATTTTGGTCAACAAAGTGGCATGTCACAAGCTATCTAGGTTTCAGCATAAGACATAATTAAGTGGCACCAGTGATGAGCAACACATGCTATCAACATCTTATATTTTTATGCTAAAACTTCATCTCATTGCCCATATCTTTAAAAGACCTAGACTTTATTTGGTAAGGGATTGTGTTTTATAGTTTCCTTCTGGACCTGGTTCCTGGCTCAATGCTGTTCCGAAGGGTTTTTGCCTCTCTAATTTGCAGGGATTGGATGTCCTTGCAGCATCCTTGACATTCTCCATTACATTATTGTTCTTACATATTTTTTCTAGGGGACAATAACTTACTCTCAATTTGCAACTTTAAAAATGCCAAAAAATATAACATAAGAAATCAGACATAATCATTCAACCATCATTACTAAAAAATGAGGCATCTCATGCCTCAAACAATATACAGTTCATCCATACTATGCTTACTAGTTCTTACCCACTATTATATAATACATTATGTATCAAATTGACCCCACTCCTCCGATCAACAACAGGTAAAAAGCACTCGTCCATCACAGTCAGTGCAACAGCTAGCTTGGACTGGGTAATTCCCTTACTAGCTGCATCCGAGTCCTCATCTGTTCTATGAATAAGAGACCATGTAAAGCCTGCATCAAGTTCATGCTTGATCCCAAGGTACTTCTTCAAGTGCTCAAAAAGCTGCAAAAGCAAAAGAATAAAATTCAGAATCAAGCCTTAGTGCTACCAGATTTCATTTTGGATTTGCTGCTTCTTTAGTCATTTTCAGTTTAAAACACTAAAATACATATATTCCTAGAAAGAAAAGTTCTGCAACTCTTAAAATGCACGAGTCTATAAACAGGTTCACAAGAAATGAAAAGGTACCTCTTTGCAACTTTTTCCACAGAAGGAAGGCCCCAACATATTGGAGTTAGTAGGAAAAGCACCCATATCCTTGGTACAACAGTCATGATCTATTTTAAACAGAAAGGTCTAGATTAAACAAATTCAAACCAAAAATGGAAATAAGGGCCAAAAGCAGAGTATATTGAAAGAACTTTAAATTTACAAGGAGAAATGGAATACATTTTTTCTGGCACAAATCACATGTATGCAGGGTATATACAATTGCATCATCTTCTTTGTCAATAGTTTCACAGGCTAGTCCACAAAATTTACAGGTGCAGTTCGGACAATGCCATTCACCAGGAGGAAGCATCTGCAACAAAATAAATGAGTTGCTCAGAATGAATATAATCCTTCTGATTAAACAAGTTATGTTGCCAAATTAAGGTATCAATAACACCATTGTCAGTAATAAATTATTCTAGTTTCCATGTATCGGTATACTGAACCCTACTTTTATGAGAAAACCCATTCAACATGCCACAAAGATATAAAAGAAATTATATTATTTTCAGAAACAAATCTCCTGGTAAGTTCATCACAATACCATTCAAGGCATCAAAACTATTTTAGATAGGTACTTTCATTTACAGCATGTTTATTCAGAATTATATTCCATTCCACATTGTCAGTATGAAAGAGGTGTCTCAATATACCAATTCTCAGCATATCCACTAAGACAGTCAGCAAAATAATAATAATAATAATAATATACAGTTTTTCCCTTATCTCCATACACCTAGTAAGCAAAGCCCCAAATAATGAGATACTGTTTCTCTTCCACCAAAAACATCATTCACAAATTATGTCCTAAATAAGGTCAATCCTCATCCGCAAAAGGGGGAAAAAGAAAAACAGCAAAGACAAAACCATACAGAGACCATAATTTATACAATCAAAATTTGAACCATAACATGTCAGACGGCTATCAGCAGAGTATCAGCACACTTACTTGTATATCTAAGCAATTCTGATGAAATGTTGAAGGACAACCATCACAACAGATTAAATCTCCTCCATCTCCACATATACCACACGTATCATCATTTGGATCATTACCATCAATATCTACTGAATGGAAACTGATTTTCTTAGAATTCTCTTGTTTATCCCATGCATCTATCTGGCACTGTAGAAGAGAAACTCCAGAATCCAAATATATGTTTTGATATGGCTGGGGTAATTTGCTTCCAGCATGAAGTTCAAACTTGGAAACTGTAAGGATTTTACTACAGCAGCCACAATGAATGCCATCTCTTGTGATCCATCCCTCCAGCATTACTCGCTTCCTTCTACGATACTGAACCTTTTGGCCAACCTGTACTACCCCAGAGTCAACCAACCAAGAAAGCACTGTTCGTTTGCCCGTGTAGGGAACAAAGTCATCAGATTCTGAATTCAATCCTTTGTTAGAACTACGAACTAATAAAGTGCACCTCCCATGTTTTCTACTTTTTCTTCCATGTAGATGAGAATCATTTCCAGGGAGTGATTTTTCAGTTCCATCATTTAAGTGACGAGTAGCATTCTGGCTTTTGGAGATACCACTGGTGACAGCATTTTCAATCATTTTAGCTTTCATTGACTTACTTCCTTGCTTTATAAAGGAACTTAACTTCTCTTCGTTGCTATCACTATCAATGCCATTCATATCATGTCTTTTGCTGGTAGTTCTTTTAATCTTCTGCTCTTTTTCACTGTCACTCTCACTATCATCTCTTTGCTTCTTCTTCAAATCTTTCTCCATCTTCTTTCGTGTTTTCCTTGTCAATTGACTGAGCACATCATCAGAGATGGGAGCAAAAGAAGAACTCTCCCCTTTGGGCTTGGCCTCGTTATCATCATCATTCAATTGCTTTTGAAGTGCATCATAAGCCTTGATGATAGACCAATAGGCTGTACCCCCTGGGTTGATGTAAACTGCATCTAGATAGTCTCTATTCCTTCGAGGGCGATAGTCTATGGTCCAACCTGCATTCAGCAACATCTCCCGTATTCGTTCTCGTAGTTTTTGCTTTTCTGTACCACTGCCACGCTTGATTTTTCCCTCTTTCATTCTTGTATTGGGGAGTTTTTCTTGCACGGGAGTCTGTTCATCTTCAGAGGTTATTTTCTTTGATGATTTACGAGCTTCAATATTTTTTACTCCCAGATTTAATGATGTGTCACTGTTATCTGAATCCTGCTCATCACCCCTACTATCCTTACTTGACAATGATTTTCTTTTTGCTATCTGTTTCTTCTCTGACCTAACTTGTAAAGCCTGTTTCTCAACAGGTTTTGTTTCAGTGTATGACGGAAGATGGATCAGGACATTCCTCTTGGCAGAGCCCTCAGCCCTCAAGCTTTGTCTACTTTCCACAGGTTTGTGATGATCATAGTGTTCCAGTTGCCCACCCACCTTCTTCTTATTAACCATAACTTTCAAAACTCCATTTTTACCCTGAACCCTAATGGATTCATCTGAATTAAACCTCTCTCTCAACATGGGTAGTGGACGCTGAGCTCCATCTCTGTTTATCTTGAACCTACTATGGTCAACACTATCACCCAGATACAAGCCACTTGCTCTGTCATAATAGGAGTTTTTTCTCTTATCCACAGTGTGTCTGCTTGAACCGGTTTCAAATTCCCTATCAATGCTACTTCTAGCAGCATGCATTACTCCCAGAAACCTTCCTCCTCCTAAACCAACCCCATTATTATCAAAATGCCTCCTTCTCATCACTTCAACATCCATACCATCATATTCATCAAAATCAAACACATCCAACTTATTACGCTTCCTTTCCCTCCTCTCTAAACCATTCTCCTCGCCCATCCCATCTCCATTACGCCTAATTTGCTCCATTCTCTCCCTCTTCCTACTGATTTCACCTCCTCCAACCATACCCCGTTCGAAAGCAGTCAAATTATTACACACTCGAATGGTCTCAGGGCCAAGCCTTCTAGCAGGAGGCATGAGTAACTCATCGCTCGATCCCGAATCACTCAAATCGACCTTGCGCTTTTTCCTCACTTTCTTCGATTCAAACTGCCTACGAGTACTCGAAGAACCAACAACCCCACCGCCAAGACCATCCCCTTTTTTTCTCACAATTAAACACCCCGAAGAGCTTTTATTCTTTACCACAACCCCAGAAGGGCCACCTATTCTCGTGCCAGGTTCCATCCAGCCCAAAAAAACCCTAAATCCCCAAAACAGCCATCCCAATAATTCAGCACGAAAACCCAAACCAAATCCAACCCAGAAAACCCTAAATCAAAGTCAACATAAATCCCCCCGCGCACACTCCCAGATCTGAAGCAAAATCAATCGAAATGCCACCAAGTCTTCCCTCGTCAGAAGAAAACCGACCAGAACGGTGAAAAGATAGCAATATTATTTTGTTTTGTTCAAGGGTCTTACCTCACCGGAAAATTGACCGAAAATGAAAACCCTCGCTCGGTGACGCCGATCAGTGACACAATTCGCCGGCGAAAGGAAACTGATCGGAGAACGAGAGAGAGAAAGAGAGAAATTGGGGTTGGGATTTGCAGTGCCGCTTTATAAAATGCCAATTAGCAAATCACGCTGCTCTTTCTCCCTTCTTTTGTTTTTATTTATTATTAATTTATTTTGGGTTTCTTTTTCGTTTCTTTGCATTCCATGGAAAATGAAAATACATAGATGATGATGCGTACAAATTATTTTGCCTCCAAATCCCTTGTTTTACTGGCACTATTGACGGTCCAGATGACGCCACGCTGTAAAGTTGGTCTTTTTGATGACGTGGCAGGATCAAGCGGTGGTACGATGCATGGGTGGCTGTTTATACAGTTTGGCCGTACTACGTTGGGAATCGGAAAAATCGAGGGAAACCAAATGGAGTGTGACGATGCTGATGATGCACTGCAAGCGCTTGGATTTCTCGGTTTATTTTAAATTAAAATATTCATAAAATACTATTTATTTTAAATTTAACAACCAGTAACGCATCAAAGTTCAAGAGATTAATTACTTGTTGCTGGTTGAAAATTACCATTGATATACGGCAAAAACTATAATATTTTATTATTAGGTTTAGGCTACACAAACATGAGTAAAGATTTCCTTCTTTTATTTCCTTTCATTTGTTATTTAAGGTTATGATGCATTGTTTCAGATTTGTAATTAATATTTTAACTTCCTTAAATTTTGTTAATTCAACTTTATTGCATTTATTTCTCTCATATTAATTCATTTTTCTTAAGCTATTAAAAGAAGGAAAAGTAAATAACCCACAAAGTGAAACATTTTTTTTATTATATCTCTACTTTAAAAAGATATCTTTCTTACTTTTCACTTTTACTTTTAATTTAACTAGTTAATTAATTGATTTTTCATCAATTCAGTTTTGTTTAGGATTTATAGTAAATGAACGTTATAATCTATCATTAATATAAAAGGCAAATATTAATATTAGTATTTAAAATTATATTTAAGTACTTAAAAGTAATAAATTTCTTAAGTTTTAAAAATATACATATATTTATCTTAATTTTATAACTTTATTATAGTAGCATTTTTTATTATAAAGTTTACCATTTTAAAATATTTTAATTCATTTATAGGACCTAAAATTAGTAAACTTTTAGTACAAAATGTAAGTTGTTGTTTTAAACAAGTGCACTAAAAAAATGTGTTAAAGGATAATATATTTTAAATTTATTATTTTTATTATATTACAATACTTTTTATATTGATTTTTTTTTATTTTAATTTATAATTTGGTATAGTTTTTACTTTTAAAAAACGCACTTTTAACTTAATGTTGTTTAATATATAAATACAAGTAAAAAATGAAACGTTTAATTAAATAATTCTTATAAATATCAAATTTTATTAATAAAACTTATAAATTAAATTTTTCATTTAATAAATTAAATATACAGTAACTCATATAAATTAAAAAATAATTTTTAATTTATCAGATAATTTTCAACTTTTATTATATTTTAAACAATTTTTTATAAAATTTTTATTATTAATTTTATTTAATTAATTATATTTATATATTATATAAATTTATTAAAAAGATGTGATAAAAATATAGATGATAAATAATGTAATAGAAAAAAGTTAATATATTTTTGTAATTTTGATTTTTTTATTTTGATCTTTATATCTATTTAAAAAATTTTATTTTGGTCACTTTTTCACGGGATATAAAAAAAATAGTAACAGATCGCATTAATAAAAAATTTAGAGAATATAAATAAAATTTAAGAGACTAAAATATATATAAAAAATCTAAAACTATATATTTAAGGGGAATAAAAATGGTAACAGGGTAAACACATACTCCCTCCCACTACCACCGACCGAAGTGTTTTGTAGGGCAGAGAGTAAAACAAGGGTTTGTGAAAGTGTTAACGAAGCCTCGATGCTGGTGCAAGATTCGGAGGGAGACTTACACGGTGCATGCGCTGATGCAAACCCCAGGTATATACGTCCACCTTCTCCAATCTGCAATAAATTCCAAAGACCCATTCATCGGAAGATCCATTCACGCCCAGATCATCAAACACGGCCTTTCCCTCGGCGTCTTCTTGATGAACAACCTCCTCAATTTCTACGCCAAAGTTGGCTCCTTATCCGACGCTCACCGCTTGTTCCGTGAAATGCCCCTTAAAACCACATTCTCTTGGAACACCATTCTGTCCGCATACGTGAAAGGTGGCGACTTGGAGCCTGCACGCCGTGTGTTTGATGAAATTCCTCAACCAGATTCTGTCTCCTGGACCACCATGATTGTGGGCTACAACCACTTGGGTCTTTCCAATAGCGCTATTCATATGTTCCTCAACATGGTTTCCTCTGGAATTTCGCCTACCCAGTTCACGTTTACCAATGTTCTTGCCTCGTGTGCCGCAACTCAAGCCTTGGATGTTGGAAAGAAGGTTCATTCCTTCGTTGTAAAACTAGGGCTTTCCGGTGTTGTTCCTGTGGCTAATTCGCTGCTTAACATGTATGCAAAGTCTGGTGATTCGGTAATGGCAAAGGTTGTTTTTGACCGGATGAGGTTGAAAGACAAATCAACTTGGAATACTATGATTTCAATGCAAATGCAGTATGGTAGACTTGACCTTGCACTTTCACTCTTTGAACAAATGATTGATCCTGATATTGTCTCTTGGAATTCCATCATCGCAGGATACTGTCATCAGGGATATGACATCAAAGCCCTGGAAACATTCTCTAGCATGCTTGAGAGTTCATCTTTGAAGCCGGATAAGTTCACCTTGGGAAGTGTTCTGTCAGCTTGTGCCAATCTTGAAAGCTTGAAATTTGGTATGCAAATACATGCACACATTCTAAGAGCTGATGTTGACATCTCTGGGGCAGTGAGGAATGCCCTGATCTCAATGTATGCAAAATCAGGTGCCGTTGAAATTGCTCGAAGGATTGTAGAACTAACCGGTACTTCTAGTCTTAATGTTATAGCATTCACATCCCTGTTGGATGGCTATTTCAAAATTGGGGACATAAACCCTGCGAGAGAGATATTTGATTCATTGAAGTGTCGCGATGTAGTTGCATGGACTGCCATGATTGTTGGTTATACGCAGAATGGCTTACTTAGTGATGCTTTGGAGCTCTTTAGGTTGATGATTAGAGAAGGTCCAAAGCCAAACAACTATACCCTGGCAGCTGTAATAAGTGTCATTTCAAGCATGGCTTCTCTGGATCATGGGAAGCAGCTTCATGCAACTGCCATAAGATTGGAAGAAGTATCTTCGGTTTCTGTGGGTAATGCTTTAATTACCGCGTACTCAAGATCCGGAAGCATCAAAGATGCTAGGAAAGTATTCAAACAAATATGCTCCAACAGGGATAAATTGAGTTGGACTTCCATGATCATAGCTCTAGCTCAACATGGTCTTGGAAATGAGGCCATAGAACTGTTTGAAAGGATGCTGAAAATTAACTTGAAGCCTGATCACATTACTTATGTTGGTGTGTTGTCTGCTTGCACACACGTAGGATTGGTAGAACAAGGTAAAAGTTACTTTAACTTGATGAAAAATGTTCATAACATTGAACCCACCTCTAGCCACTACGCATGCATGATTGACCTGTTTGGACGTGCTGGATTGCTTGAAGAAGCATATAATTTTATTAGAAATATGCCTATTGAACCAGATGCTATAGCTTGGGGTTCGCTTTTGTCTTCTTGTAGGGTTCATAAAAATGTGGATTTGGCTAAAGTGGCAGCTGAAAATTTGCTTCTTGTTGATCCCAACAATAGTGGGGCTTACTCAGCTCTTGCTAATACTCTTTCAGCCTGTGGTAAATGGGAGGATGCTGCTAAAGTTAGGAAGTCAATGAAGGACAGAGCAGTAAAGAAAGAACAAGGATTCAGTTGGGTTCAAATCCATAACAAAGTACATATTTTTGGGGCTGACGACGCGCTTCACCAACAAAGAGATGCAATCTATCAATTGATGTCAAGAATATGGAGGGAGATAAAGAAAATGGGTTTTACTCCTGACACTGACTCTGTATTGCATGACCTAGAGCCAGAAGTGAAAGAACAGATCCTTAGACATCATAGTGAAAAACTCGCTATTGCATTTGCAATAATAAATACTCCAGAGCATACTACACTGAGGATCATGAAGAACCTTAGAGTTTGTAATGACTGTCATTCCGCCATAAAATATATCTCTATGCTTGTGGGAAGAGAAATTATAGTAAGAGATGCCACGCGTTTTCATCATTTCAAGGATGGTTCTTGCTCCTGTCAGGATTACTGGTAGAAGAAACAACTGAATTTTGCGTAGACTGCTATTTGACAAGTAATTTTCAAGTACATTCAACTGAAGACAATTTAACCGTTAACAGGAGAATAAATTTGCCATCACTTTCTATCTTAGTTGGCTTTTAAATGAGTTTTGTCTTAAAGGGAACAAGTGCAATAATGTTCAATCAAGCTTTCATATGAAATCTCGTATTACCAAATTGGACATTTTCAGCGAAGCTATATTTGAATCGATCACTTCAGTGAACCCTCTCAGGCTAGTCTGCAAAGGTTTTAAGTATTTATGAAAGTGATGACCTGTTCCTATTGATTGATGCGGAGTTAGTCTGTAATTGGTTTGTTGTCTTGCACACGTGGAATTGGTAGAACAGGATAAAAGTTTACTTTAACTAGATAAAAAATGTTCATAACATTGAACCCACCTCTAGCTAATGCGCACGCATTGCAGGGAACTATGCTTTTGTGGATTGGTAGGCTTATTGAAGAAGCTTAGCACATTGATATAGAGTTTCTATAGAGACAAATGGTCTAGGGCTTCCTCTTAGTTGAAGCAACAAGGATTGGTCATCCGAAAGGATTGATATGTGATTAATGCTGGAAATTATTCTTTGGTAAGAAATCTATGCTGTGAATCCTCTTTTGAAACCTCTGACATTATTGATGGAGGATAATAGGGAATGTGGGAAGGAGCTGCCCCACAGTAGTCTGAAATCCAAACTTGAATGTAAACTCCCATTGAATTTGAACTGATAAGATACAAGGTAACCTGTAAAAATAAATGACTGCACGCGATTGTGTTTTCTCCATTAAAAAAAGGGCTAGCATTAAATGACTGCAAACTACGGCTACTTCCACGCACTCCTGTAGAAAAACTCTGAAGAGCTATGTTATATCTGCAGGCTGGGTTTGAACATCTAATACTTACTGAAATAGAATGAATTGAGATGGAGTGGAATAAAATTATTATTCAGCTGTTCGATTTTTTTTCCGATGATGATATGTTTGTGTAGACGAGGGGGAGACAGAGAGATCTCATATCGTAAAATAGAGAAAAAGAGTAAAAAAGCATTAGATGAAATAAAATAAAATACATTTATCTGGTTTCATTGCTTTTCGTCTTATCTTAAATAATTCAAACGATGAAAGTAGTACAACTAATATATCTTTTTCTTGATGCCCTTGTACGTAAAAATAGATTATCATATCTCTGATTCCTTGGAGGTTAAATCTATCGTCACCAGACTCGCCACTTTCTTCTTATAAGCTCTTTGCCATCCAGTCGTCATGATGTATGAAAAGACCTTGCCTGTGATCATTGTTACGTGGAATTAACCAAGACTTCTTTAAACTCAACTCTTTCTTGTTATCTGCCAAATGTCAATGATGTCATCATCATATTGTACAACCACCATGCTCCAGATTTTGCTCATAATCTGATGATATCCATCGAAATCCATTTTTTGCGCACCCAAGTATTCAGTCTGTTTACCACCGAGTGGCATGGCATGCCATCACTTTTGGAAAAGGATAACCTTGTCTCATAATTACTAAATCAATTTAAATAAATTTTACATCAATAAAACTAATGGCTAAAATATTAACGTCTTTTTCTTGCCATTCTAAGTACGGGAAAGAATTATATAATCGCCTTGAATTTTTATCCTCTTGCAAATTAGCATTTTGAACTTTAAAATATGACTATTCCGTTGATTATTCTTTCCATCTGGTCGCCATGAACTCACTAACGGTCTAATAATTGAAACAAACCTAAAATTTCATGTTTTTAATATCTGCACTGTCTATTAATTATTCATTAAGATCCTTATTTCATATATGTTTTTGTCGTTAAAAACAATAAATAAAGAAATCTGAAAAAATAATAATAACTTTCCCGACTCTGAAAACAAAGTTAAATTTAAACCAATAACATTTAGGCTTAAAATACTAGGTTAAATTAATATGTAAGTCATTAAATTATTTAGAGATTTTTAAATAGTTTCTTATGCATTAAAAAATTATAATTAGTTTCCTAAATTTATAAATACAGAGATTTAATTTTACAAAATTATATAATTTAAGGAACAAGCTAATAGTTTAATTATTCAACATTTCCCTAATTTTTTTAAAAAATAAAATTAAAAATAATTATAAGTTTAGAGACGTAAATATAATCTTTGTGAAAGAATCTATTTAAAATTTTTAAATATTTATAAAATAATCGAAGCAATGCATTAATATCATTTTTTACCATTTTGATTTTAAGCCTTACTAGTGTCTTAAAAATATTGATCAAAGAATTAATATATTTTTAAATTAAAAAATAAAAAAAATACCCTCAGGTGTATAAAAAATTATAAAAGACGTTTATCATCGCACTTTTTAATAAAAAAATGTTTTTAATTTTTAATTACTATTCTAAAAATATTATCTTTAATTTTTGGCGTTAAATTACATTCCACGTCCACCCTAAAACGAAAAGGAAGGGGGGGTTATAGTGACGGGAACTTGTCAACAATTAAATTATGGACAGAGACTATATTTGTGCTTTTTTGCTTGCTTTCTGGTTTTATATTTAACGTTTACTAGTAAAGTGCCGCAATAAAGCAAATTAAAAGGAATATGTCTACGTGTTTTTATGATGACATTCATTTCATTTCTATGGCCTACCCTTTTCCATGTTTTATTTTCGTACGATGCCATGTAGAAGTTTGTTGGTAGTAAAAAGTGTAAACCCCAACCCCCATCTTTAGCATAACCATTAATGAAGACATATAACCAACAATAATGCCAATCTCTACATTCTTTTTTCATTTTTGCCTATACATATTTAAAATCAATAATCTTGAGTGATCGCATTTAAAAGTCATTTTTCATTTCAATAATTTTATTAATTTCAATTTTTAAAGCTGCTGTTGAGTATATAAAAATAATTTTTATCATTTAAGTGAGTATTTATAAATTTGATTTTGTAACATAAACTTGGATTAAATAGTGAGATCAAATTTGAGTTGCCAAAATTGATCTTGATAGACCAAATCCCCTATTTTAATTATGCTAACAAGCAAGATCACATAATTTATAGTGCGTGTTAGCATTGAAGCCGAAGTGAGATAGGCACAAAATACTCAATTAAACATTTAGTGTACTTTATTAACATGTGACTCTTAAATGGAAATGGGACCTATCCAGTTCATAGCAAATCTTTAGCTTGAAAATTCCTTCAACCTTTTGCCAGATTGATGGGTTTGTTCATTGTTTGGCCAACAAAATTTCCAGGCAGAGGCAGGGCTATGCTCATTTATAGGGCAATAATATTTTGTCAGAACCACCATCTTATTCATACCTTCGAAATATCTACCAAGTTGGCTAGTCAATATGCAACAAGGAAACCATGTGAGGCCTCTGTTATGTAAAGTGTTTATATTTGCAAAACAGTGAACATGACACGAAAAGATGGACCATCTCTTCCTTCCTTGCTCTTTGAAACCGCCACACAATGGTCTCGGAGGGGTCCTCTTTGGTGTTATCCATCAAAATGAATAGGAATGTAGTGGTCAAGCGACCTTTAAGCCATAATATCTCGAAATGTTCTTTCTATAGTTTGGGATAAGGTATAAAACACACACTACAACATGTGTATATTTCATAAAAATGTTAACATCAGGCTTAAAAGTTGTAAGGTTTTATGAAAAAGAAAATATAAAATATAAAAATGTTAATAATTTTTTTATTTTATTTCACTTTATTACATTGACAAGAAAAGAAGCTAAACATCTCCTTGGTTCCAAGAGACATTCCAAATTGTACATGTATATGGTAACATGGTATCTCCATTTCTGATGTCACTTAGCTGCCTCGTTACCCATTACATTAGGCTGATGATAAAGTTAAAAGGGTAAATTGAGAAAAACTTCTATCATAGATAAACCTGACTGATTTACATATATGATATATATCAAATGAAGCATCTCAACAGCCAAGGATACATGAAATCCCACATTAGATAGTGTATAGCACCTCTAGGAGATGGAGCAGCAAATTAGCAGCTCAAGGGAAAATTTTGCTTACATTAATGTGATTGTGTTGCCTGTGCATGATTTACATCTGGCATCTTTTCATACCAGATCAACTGACCTTACTAGGAAAGGGTAACCACAAGCTAAATTACATTAGGGTCGTTTGAGTAACTTACATTGTGCCGACTTATGATGAGAAATTATGAACTTTAATGGTTTCTAGATTCTAGACATCTATTGCATCAACAGGAAGTGAGGTTGCCCTATGAAGAGAGTGTGGAAGCAAAGCTCCAGCAAAGAAATCCTTGGCTGTAACCATTTGCTCAGGACTATTAGACTGGCTAATCTCATCACCATTTTGAATCATTTGATCATCCAGAGTGTTGCATTTCTCAATATCTACCAGAAAATGCTTCCCAGAAGCAATAGATCTCAATGATGGTTTGTTGTTTTGTATCTTCAAGTTGGATGTAGCTGATAGCCTCAAAATTCCATCTTTCCCATGCTCTAATATATCAGTGTCAGGAGATATGCTAGTTAATTTTGGTTTACTCCCTAGTTGGTGGTCTCTAAGCTCCCTTAACTGCATTTGGTACTTTGCTTTGAGCCATCTTAGTTCTTGCCTAATTTCATTTTCATAGTCCAAGAGAACACACCTTGATGCAGGGATAGGAGGAGGCTTTTTGGCATTGAGATCACTTGGTTCATCCGCATTAACAGTTTTTGCATCCTCCTTGATGTTTGATTTGTTTGAAGCCTCATTAGCTTGATCACAATGTATATCTTTTAACTCTTCATGACATAATTCTGGTTCATCTCGCTGAGCCCAGATATCGGTAAAATGAATAATGCCATTGGATTGGCTTGATGCATCTGGTGCGCCTTCTGTAACACTATTTCTAGACCCTTCAACTTGGTATGTTATCTCTTCAAATCTGCCATGAACTGCAGCACATCCGTTTTTGGAACAATGAAGAAATTGAAGATTCTTGCCACATGGATTATTTGATGATACATAATCAAACAAGGAACCATTTGCAGCACAGTTGAGGCAGACACTTGAACATTCTGAAATTTCCTCTATTCTGGGTCCTGTTTTCCACTCTGGAACCAATATTGCAATTTCATTATCTATCATGTTTGCTAATTTTGTTACATCTTGGTCAGTTATGTCAAGCTCAGCTACCATTTCCTTTGCAACGCTCAATGCAGTATCGGTCTCGATGTCAAATGGGAAGTAAATGTTTCGAACTCGACCTATTTAGAGAAATGCATTGTTAGTTTGATTTCTTTGCTTATGCAACAAGTATTAGGAGAACAACAGAATAAGGAATAATCAAATGCTAAAAAATAGTTCAAGAGTAAAACACGAAAAGTGAAGTGCATACCTTCCTTATCTGCTATTCTGATTCTCAAAAAGATGCCATCATCTTCTCTTCTCCTACCTTTGATTGTGGTGTCAACTTCTGCCAAATTGTCATCCTCTTCACATTCAAAGAGATCAATTTCACTCGTTTCAAAATCATGTTGATGATAATCCAATTCAGATACAGGCCCATAACTACCAAGATTATTAGTGTACCCAGTCATTGAGGTGTTGTTAATGCTATGAAGTCCATTCAGAGGTTGTCTAATTGTTGGGGTTACTTCATAGAAATCTCTTTGATACTGCACTCCTTTTGAGTCAGATCCATAATCATCAATTTGGAGAAAAGGGTCCTCCAAGAGTTCCTTAGCTGAAAGCCTGAGGGACACAGTTGCTAAGCATTTCTCTACAAATTGCCTAACCTCAGGATTGCTTACTTTGTAAAGAGCTTCTGGCTTCTTCCCCTGTAAAATATGCATGAAAATAAGTGAGACAGGAAAAAAAAGACACAGACAGGAAAGTGAATCAAGGTTAGAAGGAAAAGAAACTTTTGGTTCTTACAGAGACAACTCTTTTGTAAATTTGAG